GAAGAAAAAGTGAGGAAGAAGCTACTCCACTGGCTCTCTCTCTCGTTTGGGCTTTGGGGTATACGAGGTATCTTTATGTTTCCTTTTATGCCCTCTACAAAACTTCAATTTTACATTTTTGCCCTCCACGTCAGATCCTTCTTCTCCACTTTCTATTTATCCACTGGTCCGCGTGTACTCAAACAAAATAAGAGATTTATTTTTTTGTGCTATAATAAGAGATTTATCATAAATTATAATCACATCTGTCTTCACTATTTTATCCTATTAAAATGTTGGTTTGTTGTTTTGTTGTGTCTACGTACCACACATAAAAAAGAACTATTTTTAGAGAAATTCATTTAAATAACTCTATATGGTTGGTTCTTGTAAATAAGACAAATGGACGTGTAAAAGTCGATGGTTCCAAAGCTGACCATTAACACACAAAAAACAAAAGAAAATTGTAGCTTCCATCGTCTCTTTAGCCTAAAAACAAAAATTATTAAAATAATGAAGAATCAATCAAGACATTCGTTTCTGGTCCTTCTTCTGCGCGGGAAAATCCCAACAGTAAATAAAATAAAATAAAATTTTCCCCAAGTGGTGGGACCACAGTACGCTTCCATTGGGCCTTGATTGGGCCCTACCTCACATGTCTCTCTGCAGGGCTCATTTGGTTAGTTCAGTTTTCTTTTATCCATTTTTATCTTTTAGGCGAAACATACGTACTGTACTGTATGTCAGTTTGTAATTTCTTTACAAATTTCTTTTGTTTTGACTTTATTTTTGACCATTAGACGGAGAGGTCAAGGGAAAACACGAAAAATGGTGAGATAGTAACAAATATAATTTGATCGTAAAATTTATGAAATAGCATAATGATGTAATCGGAAATTTTGCTAAATAATTCTGCAGACTATTGATAAATTAGTTCTTACTTTTTATAATAATTAATTAATTATCGTCATAAGAAAAGAAAGAAAATTTTAAGTAGTTGGTAGATATTAGATATAAGTACTAAAGTTAACTCTATCGCCCTTTTCTGTTTGAAATTATGATTAGTCATGATAGCTTTGTAACATGTCTAATTTTTCACGTCCCCTCCACTAATTTAAGTATCTAACCTTTACCTCCCTTATTACAGATCATAGAGGAATTAGCCAAGAATATCCTTTTTAAGTAGAATGAAGGGTATCGATGTTCCTTGAGATTTAAGAAACAAAATTGATGTCATGGGTTGTTGTTGCTGTTCTTTTGTGGAAACTTTTCTATACGCGCGTATCTCTGTAGTTTTTAATTATACTGTTCTAATTACTTTAATTTATTCGATGCTAAACAATATTATTTGCACCAAACTTTGATATAGCTTCTAATGTTGGCATTCGTTAGATGCTTATTTTAAAGGTTTTGGGTTTTGTTTATCGAGTGAAATTAAGAATGCTGATACATTTTAAAATGCATTTGCATGTATGCACCTAATTTTTATGATATTTTATTTGTTGTTAGGCCAAAATATAATCTACATAACTAATAAGGCTTGGACACTCTCAAGTTTTGACACGTGGCACTTTTTTTTTTTTTTTTTTTTTTCGCCTAACACCAAAACGACGTCGTTTTGCGCTTTATCTTTTTTTTTTTCGTCTTACACCAAAACGACGTCGTTTTCGTAAAAAAAAAAAATCTAAATCAAAATTATGTGTAATGCTGTTCGTTTTGATGGGCTTGATTATTTATCGGACCTCTTCGTTTCCATGGTAGCTTTAAATGGGCTTACTGGCTAATTAGCTCATTTCATTTCCTTTTAAAAAGGATTGCAATTATTATTATCTATGAGTCTGTAGGATAATAATCAATCTATAATGATTGTTAGTATAAGGAAAATTAGAAGAACTCAACTCCAGTCGATAAATTATTGTATAAAAGAACAAAAAACATATGAAACTATTCACTATGAGTCTATATAAGATTTCACGTAAATAACAACTAAATTTTAAAACTATATGAAAAAAAACAAAATGCAAAACTTACAGAATCTAATATATTCGAGTAAAAAACAAATGATATATTCGAATCTAATGTTCTGAATAATTAAATTAAAAATATTTGGTTTAATAAACCCGCGCATTGCGCGGGTTCTCTCCTAGTGTTTCTAATATTGCTAGCCCACGAGTTCATTGTCGTTAAATAGTTTTTTCTTTTGTCGCTATGAAAGACCCAATTTATAATGACTATATGATTGTAAATTATTATTCAACTAGCTAGAAAATGCATTTTCTTAGACAATTTACGCAAGTTGGATAACTTGTTCATTTATTTAAACACTACAATGACATAGCGATTATAGAATAAAAAGTTGATTCCAATGTCCTGATCCAATCTTCACAGTGTACAACTAAACTACTGTCGCGTGTTCTTGATTTAATTGTTGCTCATTTTACACACAATACAAGCAAACAAAATTAAAGTAAAGCTTGGAACAAAATATCAGCCATTTAACTCGTCAAATTTCCTTAGATCAATCATTAGGAGATCTCTTAATATAACGACCATTAAGAGCCCATGCCCCATCACCATATTCTGATTATTCCTATACGTTGTCTCAACCTTATCTTTAAGCAAGCGTAAGTTAACACTCATAGTTAATTTTCCATATGATTATGGTAACATTTAAATTAATTCATAATTCTTTAATGTTGTCAAAGACTCAAGGTATAAAATAAACCTCAAACTGTATATCATATGTTCCTCGAGGGCAGTCTGTTCGTTCACAAATCAACCATGATACTATTATTATGGGGCTCTCTAGAGTCCATCAAAAGGGCCATTGTATTATTAATCATAATTCATATCTACGTTAACAGGCCCAACATGAGAGAAATCGTTCCTAATTTCGTATTATCAATTAGCCGCTGGTCCTATTCTGTTTTTGTTAAACTATGTTCTTGTATGTTCAAAATTTGTCTTTCGAGATTTAGTTACGTATATTTAGTTGGTACTCAGATAAAGAGAATACGTTTTTCATAAAGTTAATCAAGCATATGAAACCAGCCAAATTACATGAAGCAATTTTAAGGAGATTTTGGAGAATGGTGTTTGTTAAGCTTAGTAAAATGTCTCCCTTTGCTCTATGTTTTCTTCCTTTTCTGTATGTCCTTTTTTGTAATCTTAAGTTTTATTTCAACAGAAAATAAATAATAAAAACTGCTACTATCTCTAGAGATGACAAAGATAAAACTAAAACAGCGGAAAAGTTAGATAAAGGGTGAAAGAATATATGTTAGATTCTGGTGCCAACCCGCATCGAGAAAAGGTTGTCGTAGCTGTAATATCTCACCGAATGGTTTAAGATACGCTTATTCTGAATAGAGTTGTAATATCTCACCAATTGCAACAATGGTATATAGTCTCCGAAGCATTTGGAGGCTGACCGTGATATTGTAGGTTTCATTCAGATGGTACTATGAAACGTGACAAAGTTAAACAATTGAACAAATTTATATTGATCTGGAATGTCATGAGGCTGCACAAAATGTAGCCCCAATCGCTGGTGAAAGCAGAGATGAGAATTCCTTGCATAATATACACTTCCAAATCACAATGGCAGTAACAAACAAAACGATTCCTAGCTTTTTTAGGATATGAGACACTAAGAGTAGAAACTGGAGGTTGGCGCCAGATTACTGTTACTTCATCATGTAACTAAACGAAAATCTTGATAAGAGATGATCTTTAATCCTCTAGAATTAATTATTCAAGTGAGATACATATCATATAAGGATATAAAGTACAAACAATTTCTGGTATATGAAAATAATTTTCTTTTTTTGTCTCTCTCTCTCTCTCTCTGCTCTAATTCTAAATATGGAATTCGTTATAAAGTATACACAAACTACTAAATTATAAAATGTATGTAATTATTATAAGCATAAATTAACCCAAAAACAAAAATGTTATAAACAATAACATAATGGAAATAAGCCGCCCTCGTGTATATTAATAAGCATGGGAGAACGAACGTAGCAGACTAGCAGTGTACGCTAAAGTCCTGAAATGGAGCCCACAATAATGAAATCCGCCAAAACAAAAAGAGACCAAAATATCGAAATTGTCCCTGGATTGTATCAACATGCAGTGTAAATTCCAAAGTGGAGTCACGGGAGAGCAAAGGGACAAAAGGGAGAAATAAGCAATACGTGTCATCATTTACGTAAAGATAAAGTCAATTCCTAACGGTATCCGGCCACCGACTACCGACCATGGGTCCCATTCTTATGTCCTCCTCTTCTTCTTCTGACGTGTACACGTACGTACGCGTATATTATAACTACTCCATGGTCGACCATTCCATGTTCTTTTTGTTTTTCTTTCGTTTTAACGTAAAAACTCAGCCTGCATGCTCTTACCACCATTATGTACAACAACCAATTAACCACATACGAAACTGTTTATTTTTAGCGGTTACTAGATTAACACAAGCTCTTAAATGAAATAACGAGTTTAACAATCTAACACGATGATTATTCCAACGTTTTACATAAGAGACATGCGTTATTTATACATCCATAAAGAGAATAACTGAAAATTTTGGATCATAACGAGTTCAACAATTTTAATACGTGTCCGCTGTCGACAAAAACAAAATAAACAATACGTGGCCGCCAAACTCCACGACTTTTCTAGGGCCTATCACAAGCACAGATTTCTCATCCAGTTTTGTATGCTTTCTTTTAGCCTCAATTACTACTTTTATATAATCAAATATTTAACATTTCCATGCTTTTATACTAATCCAAACAAAATTTCAGCTATAAATAACGCGCGACGCGTCTTGGATTTTGGAATTTTCTCCTCCAACTATAACTTCAACCTCTCTCTCTCTCTCTTGACATATTTCTTCTCTGTGACTATGTCCTTGGTCATATGTAAGAGTCTCTTGATAAAAAAGATCAGATAATTCTCCTACCTAACTAAAACCCACTTCGAAAGTCCTCTTCTAGTTAAGAAACGTACGAATCTGTATGGACGCCGAAGAAACATCAGCTGACGTGGCAGGCACAAGGAAGAGAGAAAGACCATACAAAGGGATAAGGATGAGGAAATGGGGAAAATGGGTGGCGGAGATCCGAGAGCCCAACAAGCGTTCAAGGCTATGGCTCGGCTCTTACTCTACTCCCGAAGCGGCGGCGCGTGCGTACGACACGGCGGTTTTCTACCTCAGAGGACCCACCGCTAAGCTCAACTTCCCGGAGCTTCTGCCGTGTACCGAGAAATCCGCAGCCGAGGACATGTCGGCGGTGATGATTAGGAAAAAGGCGACGGAGGTCGGAGCTCAGGTAGACGCGATCGGGACGGCGGTGCATAACAACAACCGCCGCCGTGTTTTTGGTCAGAAGAGAGATTGTGGAGGCGGGTTATTGGAGCGGGTTGACTTGAACAAGCTACCCGACCCGGAAAATACGGATGATGGTTTGGTGGGAAAATAGACTATTTAAAAATTATTATTGACTACGAAAATATTTTACTACGATGGCTGTTGCTATCGTACGCGGTAGGCCGGGGGGTTGTGTTATGGTTATAGAATGATTCCTCTGTTTCGTCATGGACTCCCTTGTATTGAAAATTTAATCCAGTAAGACGAACTCTGTACATAACTATTGAATTAAGCAACTGTTTATGATTTTCTTTGTTAATTTCTATCAGTTGTTTGATAGTATATCAATTTAACGAATGTCTAATTTGATAACATAATCACATCAGTACATCACGCTATTTAGAAGTTTGATATTTCATTAAGCCAGTAGTCTTCAAGGTCTAGCCTTTGGTTTATGATATCCAGTTTATGTTGAGCGAGTTGTTATTTTTGATCTTTTTAAGTTTTTTTTGATCTTCTTTTCTTTTTAAGATATCATCAAAATACCTATATGTTCGAAAGATAATAACACAACTAATTTGAATCTAACAAGCTAGCGTTCAAGGTAACAATTAATATGGGCCTGATTGGTTCTCCCGCTACCACCCGCAAACGCAGCGTTTGCGGTTCGTAGCGGTTTTCGGCGGTTTATAACAATCACGACAACCGCTTTGAATCGCTCTATACCACTCTGTACCGCTCAATACCGCTGAAAATCAAAAGCTCCTTTCCGCAAGCGTTTGCGGTTGCGGGCGGTTGCGGGTGGATAATTAAAAAAAAAAAAAAAACACAAACTTATATAAAATCCGAAAATAAATAATAATATTTATTAAAAAATAAGATTTGGATAATAAAATCACAATATAAATAAAAAATTAGTACTTTTAGTCAATATTCATTAAAATCATATAATACTTATATATTTATAAGTTCTACAAATCAAAATTCTCATGATAAATATTCTTTTCATACTAATACATATATATCTAATAAATAAAATTGTAATATAAATTTAATTTTCACATTAAATATATATTTTGAAAATAAAATCACATTTTTTATTTAAATTATAGAAATTAAAAGATAGATGTAAGTATTATATACATATTATTCTTTATATATTTTTTTAATTATGTTGAACCATAAATTTAAAATTTTCATTATAATATAGTTTTGATATTTTTATAATTATATAATGTGTTTATATTATTAATTTATTGTTTAACCGCTATTGCATCCGCAAGTGAACCAGTCATAAGTAACCCGCAAACGCATCATTTTCAATTGTTATGCCAGTCGTACAAACCGCTTAATAACGCTACTAATCACAACCGCCCGCTTCCGCAAACTCCCGCACCCGCAACCGCAACCGCAGCGGTTAAACCAGTCAGGCCCTATGTATCGACATATACCTCCAAATTTTGTCGCCATATGTCGGCATGTATATTTGTATCATGTTACCATTTTCGTAAAAGTTGTAAAACATATGGAAATTTTCTGATATATCAAAACACTATGGACATTATTTGATGGAGTCATGGAGCTGGTATCTTTCACTATTTCTGTCAGCGCTTTTAGAAAAGTGATAGATTCACGAGATTTGTTTCATAAGAACGTACAATGATTAAGAAACTCAATAATTTAAATCCTTACGTTGTAGAGTGGCCGAGTTTTACTTTTCATTCACACTAGAGATGAAAAATGGCAGGAGTAGTAGACAAATTTTAGTGGACGTGAGCTCTTGAGTCCACGACTAGCTCAGTATCACTTAGCTCTTGAGTCCATGTCATCTCCTTTGTTTTCGCGCTTCTACTTCACAAGGTCTAAAACATCTTCAAAAAGATTGTTCATCCCTCTAGCTAATATATTTTGGTCTGAATAAAACTTATCCAAAACGAAATTTTCCAAAGCCGAACTTCTAAAAATTGGTTAGTACACTGGTCTATTTTTAACTAAATACTTAAATTTTGCCTATTAAACGAACTAAAACCAATAATTCAAATCCTTGCGTACTTCAGACAGAATTTGCTTAACGACAAAAAAAAAAAAAAAAAAAAATTCATGCTTCTCCTTTTTGGTATTAGATTCTGGTTTCATGCATGTGGGTAGGGCACTAAAATAATGTAGTGTGTGGGTACACGTACACTATTTTAGATTGGCCGAGTTTTACTTTTCCTCCACAGCTTCATACTAGAGAGTAGAGACGAGAAATGGCAGGAGGAGTAGTTTTGATCTCGTCGAGCATTGTTCGACCTGGAAACAGCAACCAGTCGGGTCGGACAAAGATCCATCTTACTCCATTTGATCTCAGCCTTCTTCAGTTCGATTATCCTCAAAGAGGTCTTCTCTTTCCCAAACCTGATCAAGATTTCCATCTCATCTCTCGTCTTAAAGCCTCTCTCTCCCTTGCCTTAGAGATCTACTTCCCTTTCGCTGGCCGTCTTGTGAAAACGGATAATCTTGAAGACAACACGGTGTCGTTTTTCATAGACTGCGATGGCTCCGGAGCTAGATTGAACCATGCCGAAGCTAAATCTATCTCCGTGAGTGATCTTCTTCAACCAAATGGCTCTGTTCCAGATTTCATAAAGCACTTCTTCCCAGCTGACGACCTCAAGAGCTCTGATGGCGTCACAGAGCCCTTGCTTGTTATACAAGTCACTGAGATGAAGGACGGAGTCTTCATCGGTTACTGCTACAACCACATGGTCGCAGACGGCGTTTCCATGTGGAGGTTCTTGCACACTTGGTCCAAGATTTGCTCGAGTGGTTTAGCTTCAGAGCATCAGCCTCTTGCTCTCAAAGGATGGTTCCTTGATGGGATCGATTATCCGATCCACATTCCGGTTTCAGATGCAAAGAGGCCATCACCAACAAGCGGTGAACTTTCTGCCGTGCCCATCACGAAAGAGAAGGTTTTTCACTTCACAAAGAAGAACATTTCAGAACTCAAAGCTAAAGCCAACAGCGAGGTTGGCTCCAGTGACATGACAATCTCTTCTCTTCAAGCGGTTGCAGCGCATATGTGGAGGTCAATCATCAGACACAGTGGTCTGCGCCGAGAAGGAGAGACGCATTGCAAAGTTGTGGTTGACTTGAGGCAGAGGCTAAACCCTCCCCTTGAGAATAACTGTTTTGGGAATATGATCTCTACAGCACCAGCCACAACCACCGTGGAAGAGCTGTTGGATCATGGCTTGGGTTGGGCTGCTTTGCAAATAAACAAATTCGTGAGATCGCTAACGAATGAAAGTTTGAAATCTTTTGCAGAGGATTGGGTTAGTAATGTAAAGAACTTAAAATCAGGCCTTGGGAGTAGAATGGTTGGTGATACTTTAGTTGTCGCAAGCTCTCCCCGGTTTGACGTGTACAACAATGATTTCGGTTGGGGAAAACCGATTGCGGTTCGATCTGGACCGGGAAATAGTATTAACGGCAAACTTGTACTTTTTCAGGGAGTCGAAGAAGGAAGCGTTGATGTTCAGACGACCGTTTGGTCGCACGTACTCGTGAAACTACTAGCCGATGTGGAATTTACAGAGCATGTTACTATTGCATGATTTATTTTATTCAGTTGAAAAATATAAAACAGATAATTAGGGAGATTCTCTTTGGCTTCCAGTGTCTGTCACTTCCATCGTTTTCTTTGATTGTATAATGTGTGAACCTGGTAAACAGGAATTATGATTAACTAGCTTTTGATTGCTGCTTGAAATGCATTTTGTTTATTGTTTTTTGTTAAAAGGTCTGAAATGCATTTTGTTGATCTCCAAGATCAAATACATGTGTTGTATTGTGTAAAGATTCATGATTAAAATTTTCAGATTATTGATCTACAAGCTCAAGTTATCATATCATAGTCTTTAATCATTCAATTATCTTTTTAAAGATTCTTGTGGATCTACCATATTGTAACATATTTACTTTATAGGTAAATTCTCCATAAAAACTACTAAAAGTGTAGGAACTCGAGGAGAGACAGCACCAAAATAATTCCAATGCTTTATTCATTACAAATCTGTTAAGCTAAGTTTTCAAAAATACACAACTATTAAGACATCTTAAATTGTTACCAGTTTCTAGCCTAACAGATGTAACACTAAATCACTAGCTATGGAATATATACGCACTCACCTCTATAAGCTTAAGAGTAGTAGCTCCCTGTAATGCTCGAATGGTATGAACAATGCCACGGTGTCGTTTCAATTATCCTTCAATAGTTGGATTTATGTAAAATTATTTGTTTTATTTTGTCGCCAGCTATTTTTGTGTTAATTAGTGCTTACTGCTTAGTTAGTGGCTTAGTGCTTAATTATGTGTCAGATAGTAGCTGTTATGCGTAATTTTGGCTTTACGTAAATATATTATAGTGGTCAAAGTACGTAAAGATATATATATATTTTTTTTTTCTTTTTTTTTTTGCCATCACGTAAAGATATCTTTAAAATGTAACTAGGGCTAAGTCCGCGCGATGCGCGGATTGTGACTATTACAAAGTTTTGTTACTTATATTTTAATTGTCATTTAAATTTTGTAAATATTTTCTCTTATATTTTTTCAAATATGTTAACACGGTAGAAATATAAATGTATATTGCTTCTTACCTAAGACTTTTAACCTATACCCAAATTTCACCATAATTTTGATTCATTAAATAAACGTCTTCACCTTTGATCAGCATCACTAAAACACAAGAACCCATCAAAGCTAACACCAAGTAGATAAAAAAATTAACTATTTGACCCGTGAGAGTGACCCGTTCAATTCTTTTTTCTTTTTTTTTTCTTTTTTTTTACAACAGCCTAAGTTTCTAAAACGGTTCGGGAAGCAAAACCGGTGGAACTGAATTTTTGTCCGCCTTTGTGTTCTTTGTCTTTGGAATGTGGGTCCCGTTCAGTTCTTTAAACAAATAATTTTTTTTCTTTTTTTTTTCTATTTATTCAAAGATTTGAAAATATGATACGACTTGTTTTTAAAGATGTATATTTATAGTAGTGATTGAAACTTTCTGTTAATGATACAAACGATGTGGGACAAAAATCTGTATTCCTTCCTTTTTTTTATTTTGTCCCACATCGAAACATACACACAATAGAAGCTAACTTTTTCTTTATAAATAGGAAATGTGACTTCCTTTTATTTGCACTATATTGGACTAAATTCTAATGCCCATTACTTTTGGGAATAGAATTCTAAGCCCAAAACAAAATTAAAAATTTATGTTTTATACTTGGTTAAGGCGGGTCGAGTCGTGGGTAAGGCAAAAGTCTCGGGTACCCGATTCATAGCCTTAAAGATGAAGAGTTAAAAACATTTGTGTTTTTTTTTTTTTGATGAAGAGATGTCAGGTGTCACTCAACTGGAGAGAGTTATTCTCTCATTATATATAAGATGAGCATGTTGAAAAATAAAAAATAAAAGGAAAACGACAGTAATTAGAGGGTAGGGCTGAGGTACCCTCATAAAAAATGGAAGGAGCACATGTTTAAATGGTTCTTTAAATCGCCAATCGTCATAGTGGTAATTAAAAACTTTTGAATCTATCTTTTTATTTTCCCACCAAACATTTTTATTGTAAACAAATTAAGAGAGGAAAGTTTGAGTAATTGTTTATTGTCAAGGTCTTGCTCACATTGGCTTATTTATGTCGTTAGTTTTCTGCTTTTTGATCTCATCTTTCTTCAGAGCTCAAGAAAAGAAAAATGGGAGATGTGACTGTCATTTCTTCAACCATTGTTCAACCCCAAAACATAAACCAATCGAGTCAGCCAAAGATCCACCTCACTCCATTTGATCTTAACTTTCTTTGTATCGATTATCCTCAGAGAGGTCTCATCTATCCCAAACCCGATCCAGATTTCAATCTCATCTCTCGACTAAAGTCCTCTCTCTCTCTTGCCTTAGAGACCTACTTCCCTTTCGCTGGTCGTCTTGTGAAAACGTATAACCCTGAAGACAACACGGTGTCGTTTTTCATAGACTGCAATGGCTCTGGCGCTAGGTTTCACCACGCCGAGGCTAAATCTGTCTCCGTGAGCGATCTTATTCAACCTAATGGCTCTGTTCCCGATTTCATGAAGCACTTCTTCCCCGCTAACGACTTCAAGACCTTTGATGGCGTTCAAGAGCCCTTGCTTGCTATACAAGTCACTGAGATGAAGGACGGAGTCTTCCTAGGTTTCTGTTACAACCACTTTGTGGCAGACGGTTCTTCCATGTGGAGTTTCATGCACACTTGGTCCAAGATTTGCTCGACTGGTTCAGCTTCTGAGCAACATCCCCCTCTTGTTCTTAAAGGATGGTTCCTTGACGAGATCGATTACCCGATCCACATTCCCGTTTTAGAGGAGAAGAAGTCACAACCAAGCCGTGAACTTTCTTCCGAGCCCATTGATATTGTTTTTCACTTCACGAAGAAGAATGTTTCAGACCTCAAAGCCAAAGCCAACAGCGAGGTTGGCTCGAGCGACTTGAACATATCATCTCTTCAAGCAGTTTCAGCGCATATGTGGAGATCAATCATCAGACACAGTGGTCTGAGCGGAGACAAAGAAACGTATTGCACAATAGGGGTGGACTTTCGGCAGAGGGTAAGTCCTCCTCTTAAGAAAGATTGTTTTGGGAACATGATCTATAATACAGTACCAGCCAAAGCCACAGTGGAAAAGCTGCTGGACCATGGCTTGGGTTGGGCTGCTCTGCAAATAAACAACTTAGTGAGTACGCAAACGGATGAGAAGTTGAAGACTTTTGCGGAGGATTGGGTTAAAAACGTGGTTAAAAAGGTAGAGAACCTAAGATCAGGTATTGGGAAGAGAATGGATGGTGATGCTATACTTGTCTCAAGCTCTCCCTGGTTCCAAGTGTACAGCAATGATTTCGGTTGGGGAAAACCGGTGGCGGTTCGAGGTGGACCGAGCAATAGGACCAGTGGCAAACTTGTACTTTTTCAGGGAACCGATGAAGGAAGTGTTGATGTTCAGACGACGCTATTGTCTGATGATGTACTAGTGAAACTACTAGCCGATGTGGAGTTTTTAGAGTATGTGACTACTGAATGATGAATGATTTCAGTTTAGAAGGGGGTAGATACATGTGTGTAATGTGTTTGGCTTTGGATTTTGAATAATTGTTATAATGTGTTTGTGTTTGGCTTTTGAATAACTTTTGTACTGTGTTTGGCTTTGGCTTTTGTATTAGTTTGCATAAGTAGATAAAGGGAGATAGTCTTTGGCTTCCAAGTCATGTCTCTTGTAAATGGATAATGTGTTAACCTGGTAAAGGGGGAAGTAGATACATTTGTTGAAGATGGAAGAGTATTGATGTTCATGCGACCTTATTGTCTCATGTACGTGTGAATCGGGCCGTATGGTCTGATGTATGATTGATTTGTTTAAGAAACAAAACAGTCAAGAAGGGACATTAAAAAAAATGCACTCTTGAACTACAAGAACATATAACATCAGCTTAACATGTGATGGCGTCACAGAGCCCTTGCTTGCTTTACAAGTCACCGAGATAAGTTTCCGTTACAACCACTTGGTGACAGACGGTGTTTCGGCGTGGCATTTCTTCCATACTTGGTCCAAGATTTGCCCGGAGTGGTTCTGGTTCTAAATGTCCCAGTTAATGACTTGATTTGGTTGACAAATAAAACAGATTACAAGAGAATAATCCTTCATTACTACTAAAACAGTTTACAAGAGATAGTGGAATCTTCCTTGATTACTACTATCACGTGCCTGGACATGTGCCACATCTCCTTAGGCAGACGTGGTGTCGTTTTCCATGCTTATTATCAAGTGATGTGTTTTCTTGGTTAGCACAATGTCCAGACACGTCAATCGCACATGTTGGAACAGAAAAAATAATCTTATAGAAGAATTATATTAAAGAATTAAGTCTTAAAATTATGAAAAATAATAATTGGAAAGTTGTAACTGATTGGTGCAGTAGTTTAGAAAAAGTTGAGCTTCCAGCTTCTACTCTAATTCTGATTCAGAGCTCCCACTAAAGAGAAGAACATACAAAAAGGGCGGATGTTACTGTGATTTCTTCAACCATAATTCGACCTAGAAACACAAACCGATCGGGTAAGACAAATATCCATCTCACTCCGTTTGATCTTAACCTTCTCTATTTTACTTATCTCCAAAGAGGTCTCCTCTTCCACAAACCCGACCCGGAAACCCGTTTCATCTCCCGGTTAAAATCCTCTCTCTCGACTGCTCTAGAGATCTACTTCCCATTAGCTGGTCGTCTTGTCAAAGTGGAGAATCTTGAAGACAGTACGGTCTCCTTTTTCATAGACTGCGATGACAGCTCCGGTGCAAGATTCGTCCACGCCGAGTCCAAATCATTGTCGGTGAGAGATATTCCTCAACAACAACCTCCTCATGGCTCTGTTTCTGATTTCATGAGTCGTTTCTTCCCATCTATCAACGTGAAAAGCATCGACGGTCTAACAGAGCCCTTGCTTGTGTTGCAAGTCACCGAGATGAAAGATGGCGTCTTCATCAGTTTCGGATACAACCACATATTTACTAGCTAGCTTAGGTTAACTGAACCTTTCATTTCACAACATGTGCTTTTATATGTTGAAATAGCCAACGTTATCCTTCAATAATTTTGGCTTTACGTAGATATTTTCAAAATGTAATGAGCACATGTTGAAAAAGACATCAGTAAATTGGAGAGGGTAGGTAGAGATACCTCATAAAAAAAATAAGATTTAAATGGTTCTCGTGGTCATATTATATATATATTTATATATAGTGCAGATCTTTTGGCTGTCAATCTTTTTATTTTCCCACGAAAAGATTTTGGAATCTTTTCTGGTAAACAAATTGAGAGAAAAAAAAAGTGATTAATTTTCTTTGTCAAGGTCTTGCTCACATAGGCTTATTTTATGTCGTTGGTTTTCAGTTTCTAATCTCATCTTGATTTAGAGCTCACACTAGAAAAGAAAAGAAAAGAAAAATGGGATATGTGACTGTAATTTCTTCAAGCATTGTTCGACCCCAAAACACAAACCAATCGGGTCAGACAAAGATCCATCTCACTCCATTTGATCTCAGTTTTCTTCAAATCGATTATCCTACGAGAGGTCTTCTCTTTCCCAAACCGGATCAAGATTTCCATCTCATCTCTCGACTAAAAGCCTCTCTCTCTCTTGCCTTGGATATTTACTTCCCTTTCGCTGGTCGTCTTGTGAAAACGGATAATCTTGAAGACAACACGGTGTCGTTTTTCATACACTGCGATGGCTCCGGAGCTAGATTTAACCACGCCGAAGCTAAATCTATCTCAGTGAGTGATCTTCTTCAACCTCATGGCTGTTTTCCAGATTTCACAAAGCACTTCTTCCCAGCTGACGACCTCAAGAGCTCTGATGGCGTCACAGAGCCCTTGCTTGTTATACAAGTCACTGAGATGAAGGACGGAGTCTTCATCGGTTACTGTTACAACCACATGGTGGCAGACGGTGTTTCCATGTGGAGGTTCTTGCACACTTGGTCCGAGATTTGCTCGAGCGGTTTAGCTTCAGAGCATTCCCCTCTTGTTCTAAAAAAATGGTTTCTCAAAGGGATTGATTACCCGATCCACATTCCGGTTTCAGAGGCAAAGAGGCCACCACCAAGCTGTGAACTCTCTTCCGTGCCCATCACGAAAGATAGGGTTTTTCGCTTCTCAAAGAAGAATATCTCAGATCTCAAAGCTAAAGTCAACAGCGAGGTTGGCTCCACTGAGATGAAAATCTCATCTCTACAAGCGGTTTCAGCGCACATGTGGAGATCAATCATCAGACACAGTGGTCTGAGCCGAGAGAAAGAGACGCATTGCAAAGTAGCGGTTGACTTGAGGCAGAAGGTAAGTCCTCCGCTTGAGAAAGACTGTTTTGGGAACATGATTTATAATGCACAAGCCACAACCACCGTGGAGGAGCTCCTAGATCATGGCTTGGGTTGGGCTGCTATGCGAATAAATAAATTAGTGAGCTCTCAAACGAATGAAAAGTTGAAATCTTTTGCAGAGGATTGGGTTAGAAATGTAAAGAACCTAAAATCAGGCCTTTGTAGTAGAAAGGATTGTGATACTTTGCTTGTTGCAAGTTCTCCTCGGTTTGATGTGTACAACAACGATTTCGGTTGGGGAAAACCGATTGGGGTTCAAGGTGGACCGGGCAATAGCTTTAGTGGCAAACTTGCACTTTTTCAAGGAATCGAAGAGGGAAGTATTGATGTTCAGACGACCCTATGGTCTGATATACTAGTGAAGCTACTAGCCGATATGGAATTCTTAGAGCATGTGACCACTGAATGATTAAGGTGAGAAATAAAACAGATACTATAGGGAGATACTCTTTGGCTTCTAGTGTTTGTTTCTAATGAACTGCATCTTTATTGATTTTCAAGAAGACGTGCTCGGTGTTGGCGTTTGCTTGTCGTCATGTTATGTTTTTTTTTTTCCTTTCGTTTGGTATTATCCTTTTTGTTTTAATTTTCTTTTTAATTGGGAATCCTAAGCTTTAGGCTTCTGTCTATATAAAGGGATCTTCCCATGTGTTTTGGTTCAGACTTTGATATTGATTAATAAAAAACTCTAAAAAGAGGAAACTCGTTTTGTATAGGATAATCCAAAACAAGTGGATTTATGCTTATTGAAATGAAGATAAAATTGATAAGATAGCTTCATGAGCTTTATCTATGTACAGAAAACTAAAGGAAATGAAAGAGATTTAAGATTCTCACCAATATCTCAAATGATCTCGATTGATATCATAAATGGTGAAGAAGTAGAGTTACTTTGTGGCAACTCTCAAAGGTACGTCACTTGTTCACATATATCAATCACATTTATACTAACTCACACTGACAAATTTTTATAAACAAATATGAAAAGGCATTATTTATTTAGTAACTTAACCGGGCCAATACCGGCCCAATAAAGTACCAAAAGACTCGAAAAGAAGTTCCTTGATAACTACTTCACTACTCTTGTACTGATTTTGAGCTGTTGACTTTCGATTACAGAACAAAAATGGCAGAAGTGACCGTAATTTCCTCAAGCATCGTTCGAGCTGAAGGAAACATAAACCAGCCGGAACGAACAAAGATCCATCTAACCTCATTTGATCTCAACCTTCTTCAAGTCGATTATACTCAGAGAGGTCTTCTCTTCCCCAAACCCGACCCTGAAAACCATTTCATCTCCCGACTAAAAGCCTCACTTTCTTCTGCTCTAGCGATCTACTTCCCGTTCGCTGGTCGTCTTGTCAAAGTTGACAACCATGAAGATAATACGGTGTCGTTTCACGTCGACTGCAACAACTCCGGCGTCAAATTCGTCTACGCCATAGCTGAATCTGTCTCGGTAAGCGATTTTCTTCAACTTGATGGCTCTGTTCCCGAAATATTCACGCTCCTCTTCCCCATGAACGGTGTCAAGAGCATCAACGGCATCTCAGAACCCTTGCTTGGTTTACAAGTCACCGAGATGAAAGATGGAGTCTTTATTAGTTTCGGCTACAACCACATGGTGGCCGATGGTGCTTCGATCTGGAGTTTCTTCAGGACTTGGTCAAAGATTTGCTTCAATGGTCAACAGGAGAAACTTCATCAGCCTCTTGTCCTGAAAGGATGGTTCCTCGACGGAATCGATTTTCCGATCCATATTCCGGTTTCTGAGATAGAAGCAAAGACGGCGACAACAAGTCGTGAAATTTCGACCAAAGAGAGACTCTTTCACTTCACCAAGAAGAACATTTATGATCTGAAGGCAAAAGTCAACGACGAGATTGGATCAAGTGAACAGAGAGTCTCGTCTCTACAAGCGGTCTCGGCTCATATGTGGCGATCAATGATAAGACACAATGGTCTAAACAGCGAAGAAGTGGCGCGTTGCATAGTAGCAGTGGATTTGAGGCAGAGGCTAGACCCTCCGCTTGAGAAAGAGTGTTTCGGGAATGTGGTCTACAACGCAATAGCTACAACTACAGTTGGAGAGCTTCAGGATCGTGGCTTAGGGTGGGCTGCTTTGCAGATAAGTAAAATGTTGAGATCGTTGAGGAATGAAGATTATAGAGCTTGTGCGGAGGATTGGGTTAGAAATGTAAAGATCCCAACATTTGGTGGTGAAAGAAGAATGGCTGGAAATTCTATAATTATCTCAGGCTCTCCTAGGTTTGAAGTGTATGATAATGATTTCGGTTGGGGTAGACCGATCGCAACTCGAACCGGACCGGGTAATAGTATCAGTGGCAAACTTGTACTTTTTCGTGGGATCGAAGATGGAAGTGTTGATGTTCATGCCACCTTGTTTTCTGATGTACTTGTGAAATTATTGGCTGATGTTGAATTTATGGAGAATGTGACCATTACATGACTGTTTGTCGAGAAATCAAACATATCTTTTTTGCAATAGTGAGGATTTTAGGTGCTTGAAATTGGGTGTGTTAAGAAATGATTACTAGAAATTGTGATTTACTGTTATCTTCTTACTTACCAGCATCAACCATAAGGTGATGTGTTTTCTTCAGTGGTTAGCACGTTAGTCCTAACTTGAATTTCAATAATTAACTTTATGTGAATATACATTTTTAATGACATACCCACATCTTGAAACAGTCAAAAAAGGGTTACAGATGATTATAATAAAGACGAAAATAATTGGAAACTTGAAACTGATTGTGCAGTAGGTTAGAAAAAAGTTGACAGCTTTTTTTTTTTTGTAAGAATTTTAAAAGGTATAGTATTCTGTGTGGAATATGTATTATGTGTTTGTAACTTTGCTTCTCTTATATTGTTGATAATTGATTTTAGCATTTGACTTTAGAAACAAAAAATGGCAGAAGTGAATGTAATTTCCTCAAGTATCATACCAGGTAACATAAACCAATCGGAACGAACAAAGATCCATCTAACCTCATCTGATCTCAACCTTCTTCAAGACGATTATTCTCAGAGAGGTCTTCTCTTCCACAAACCCGACCCGGAAAACCGTTTCATCTCTCAACTAAAAACCTCTCTTTCTTCTGCTCTAGCGATCTACTTCCCGTTCGCTGGTCGTCTTGTCAAAGTTGACAATCATAAAGATCACACGGTGTCGTTTCACGTCGACTGCAACAACTCCGGAGCCAAATTCGTCCACGCCATAGCCGAATCTGTATTGGCAAGCGATTTTCTTCAACCTGATGGCTCTGTTCCCGGATTTTTAAGGGCTTTCTTCCCCATGAACGGTGTCAAGAGCATAGACGGCATTTTAGAACCCTTGCTTGCTATGCAAGTCACCGAGATGAAAGATGGAGTCTTTATTAGTTTCGGTTACAATCACATGGTGGCCGCTGGTGACTCGATCTGTAATTTCTTGAGCGCTTGGATAAAGATTTTCTCCAATGGTCAACGGGAGAATCTTTATCAGCCTCTTGTCCTCAGAGGATGGTTCCTCGATGGAATCGATTCTCCGATCCATATTCCGGTTTCGAAGATAGAGACAAAGACGGCGACAAGTGAAATTTCGACCGAAGAGAGAGTCTTTCACTTCACCAAGAAGAACATTTATGATCTGAACACAAAAGTCAACGACGAGAATGGATCAAGTGACCAGGAAGTCTCGTCTCTTCAAGCGGTCTCCGCACATTTGTGGCGATCAATCACTAGACACAGTGGTCTAAACAGAGAAGAAGTGGCGCGTTGCGTAGTAGGAGTGGATTTGAGACAGAGGCTTGACCCTCGGCTTGAGAAAGAGTGTTTCGGGAATGTGATCTATGGTGCAATAGCTTCAGCTACAGTTGGAGAGCTGCAAGATCGTGGCTTAGGGTGGGCTGCATTGCAAATAAGTAAAATGTTGACAAATGAAGATTATAGAAATGTAAATATTCCAAAATCTGGTGGTAGACTAGCTGGTAATTCTATAGTTCTCTCAGGCTCTCCTTGGTTTGAAGTGTATGATAGCAATTTCGGTTGGGGCAGACCGATCGCAGCTCAACCTGGACCGGGTAATAGTATCAGTGGCAAACTTGTACTTTATCGTGGGGTCGAAGATGGAAGTATTGACATTCATGCCACCTTATTTTCTGATATGCTTGTGAGTTTATTGGTTGATGTTGAATTTATGGAGAATGTGAGTATTACATGATTGGTGGTCAAGCCTCTAGATATAAAAACCCATCACAATCTTGATTATTTTGTATTTACATCAAAGTTCTATCTCTTTCATTATTTCTAGAACACATGATTTTATATATTTTAAATTAATATCTATATGGGCTTTGAGCTGTTTTCTTGCATGTGGCTATCATTTGATTCATTTTGGTATCACAAAGATTTTCATCACTTTCCTTCCTTTCTTGACCGGAAAATGGCAGATGTGAGAGTGGTTTCTTCAAGCATCGTTCGACCCGGTAACATCGACCAATCGGGTCAGACAAAGATCCATCTAACCCCATGTGATCTTAACCTTCTTTACCTCGATTATCCTCAAAGAGGTCTTCTCTTCCACAACCCCGAACCGAAAACAAGTTTCATCTCTCGATTAAAGACCTCTCTCTCTACTGTTCTTGAGATCTACTTTCCTTTGGCCGGTCGTCTTGTCAAAGTGGACAATCATGAAGACAGTACGGTGTCGTTTTACATCGACTGCGACGGCGGCTCCGGTGTCAAATTCGTCCACGCCATAGCCGAATCTGTCTCTGTAAGCGATCTTCTTCAACCTGATGGCTCTGTTCCCGAACTTTTCAGGCTTTTCTTCCCTATGAACAGTGTTAGGAGCATCGACGGCGTCTCGGAACCCTTGCTTGCTATACAAGCCACCGAGATGAAAGATGTAGTCTTTATTAGTTTCGGCTACAACCACTTGGTCGCCGATGGTTCTTCCATGTGGAAGTTCTTCCAAGATTGGTCAACGATTTGCTCCAATGGTCAAACGGAGAAGACTCTTCAGCCTCTTGTACTCAGAGGATGGTTCCTCGACGGGATCGATTTCCCGATCCGTATTCCAGCTTCGGAGATACAAACAGAGCCGGCGAGGAGACGTGAAAGTTCGTGGACGAAAGAGAGAGTCTTTCACTTCACAAAGAAGAACATTTCAGATCTCAAAGCTAAAGCCAACGGCGAAGTTGGCTCGAGTGAGCTGAAGATATCGTCTCTTCAAGCTGTTCTGGCGCATCTGTGGAGATCAGTCGCAAAACACAGTGGGCTAAACAGAGAAGAAGAGACACGTTGCATGATAGCTGCGGATTTTAGGCAGAGGCTAAAACCTCCGCTTGAGAAAGAGTGTTTTGGGAATGTGAACCAGACCGGTATAGCTACGGTCACGGTTGGGGAGCTTCTGGATCATGGGTTAGGTTGGGCTGCTTTGCAACTAAATAAAATTGTGAGGTCTCAAACGGATGAAAACTATAAGAGTTATTCAGAGAATTGGGTTAGAAATGGTAAGATCCCAAGAATTGATGTTAGAGATAGGATTGGTGATAAGTCTTTGATTGTCTCAAGCTCTCCTTGGTTCCAAGTGTACGACAATGATTTCGGTTTGGGTAAACCGGTGGCTGTTCGAGCTGGACCGGCAAATGGTATTGGTTGCAAGGTTGTGGTTTTTCGAGGGGTGGAAGAAGGAAGTATTGATGTAAATGTGATGTCGACCGAATTGTTGAGGTCTGATGCATTAATGAACTTGTTGGATGATGTTTAAATCCATTAAAAACGTATCAAGTATTTGATTTATCAGTATATAATAATAGATTAATCATTAATGTGTGCTTATTTGCAGAAAACTACTTAACAATATCAAAACAGACGGAAGGAGAGAGCTGAGAAATGTACATAGAGAGTATTTAGTTACCAAATAACACAAAGATTTAACTACAACTGTGACATGTAAATTTCCTTGAACGATAATCAATTCACACAAACGTACTCAAATAAAGATCATGACGTAACAATCTTTCAAACTCATGGTTGGTCAAAAACAAAATAAAATAGTGTGGTATTACTTGAAGCAAAAGTATTCAAGTAAGCCGTCGTATGGTGCCATGGTGACCACATTGCTCACAACTATTGAAGGATAAATTGTGATCCGTTCTTTGTGTTAGACTATTAACGCATAACGAGCCACTGTTTCATGAATTTTTAAAGAATTACCGAGTATATAAGTCTACAATGAATTGTTCATATCAACAAATAGAGTTTACATATAAAGAATATGAATAAAAATCGTTGAACTAGGTCTAACCAAAAAAAAAGACCTCTGTTTCGTCAACACCTCTGTTTTTCCCCTGTTAGTTGTTGTATCAGTCTGGTCAACGTACACAAACCCAGCCATCGGCGACTGACCAATCAGGGATCGATTCACTAACAAGACTCTCAAATCTCTCCACCGGAACATCCAACGGCTGAGATTGCATCTGTGAATCCGACGAAACAGATTCCCAATCGTAGAACTCAAACGGACATCTCGGAGACGTCGCTACTTTTTCGTCCACCTTCGCAACGAATTCTTCTCGTTGATCAACGGCCACGAACGGATGGTTCAAAAGCATCTCAGCCGTCCATCTTCTCTCGGGATCTTTAACGAAACACTTGGACACGAAGTCTTTTCCTTCCTCAGACAACTCCTCTGGAATCTTCGGCAACTCTTCGCCGACACCGATGCGCATCAAAAGCGACACGAAGTTCGACCCTTCCTTCACACTCCACGCCGTTTTGCCGCTAAACATCTCAACTACGGCGCATCCCAACGCCCACACGTCAGCCGCTGACCCGTACTCGTTCTCGTTAACGGATTCCGGCGCCATGTATAACGGCGTCCCTCTAATCTTCACTCCTCCATTTGACGCCGTTAACTCTTCGTCGACCTTCCGCGCCAATCCGAAATCCGCAATCTTAACGGCGCCGTCGCCGAATAACAGAATATTCCCGAGTTTGATATCGCAGTGAGCGAACCCGTTCGAGTGGATGTGACGTAATCCTCTGAGCACCGATCCTGTGTAACGACGCACCTCGGATTCCGGTAGACCGTCGCCGTTTAGTTTCTTCAGTTGAGTCGCTAAGCTTCCTCTCGAAGCGTACTCCAACAGCAAGTTATGCAACTTCTCGCCGTTCTCCACCGTGTGATCCTCGCCGAAACACCTTACGATCTCAGGGCAATCGCCGAGCGAGTTCAACACTGATTTCTCGTTCGTGATCCCGGCGGCGCCGTAAGAGTCCGCCGATTTCACGGCCAGAAGAGTTGGGAAATCGCCGTAGTTTTTTATGTTTAACGGCGTCGCTAGATTGACTGTTGAGAAAGTTCCGTATCCGATTGTTTCTCCACGAACCCACTCCATTGAAAACGAGAGAAACTTGAGAAGAAGAAAAAATATCTGAATTTGTTGGGGTTTCTGAGAGGATTGTGAAGAAAGGTGTTTGTTTTCTTTATATATATATATGAACTTTGGTTTATGGTGAAAAGAATGATCCTTTATGATTTGGGATTCAGAATTGGAATATGATTTGAAGTCGTTTGGAAGATACAGAGCACGTAGCTCGTGACTGTTAATTGTGCCTCATGGTGCAACTTCCTTTTTTATATATACTCGAATTTTGAATGTTTTTTTGTAATTTTATTTTGTTTCCCAAAGTTTGAATTTTGAGGGATAAATTTAATGCACGTGATGAGAGAGGCTATTTGATATTTCCTCGTTGGGCTGCTGCAAAATTAAATTAAATAACAACATGTATATTAAAATCGGGGAAATAAATTTCATTGCACGATATTTGAGATCGAGAAATTTGATGGTCAATCTTTAGATTAAATCTTGCCCATCAATTGATCAACGAATCTACGACGATCAATATCGTATTATATTAGAGCATAATATAGTTAGAATTTCTCTCTGCGGCCGTTGTTGATACTTGATAGTTATTATGTGAAACATTATGATTTTTAAAAGGGGTATCATAAAAAAGGTAATGAACAATCTAGTAATGATAAGTATTTGCATTTACTATAATGTTTCCTAGTAAGAAAATTGAAGCTGATCGTGTGTTTCGTTGGATGTCTCCGAGGGGAGAAATTGAAACTGATAATGATAGATGAAAATAGTGCTGAATATAATGAAGTGGTCACATGCGAATTGTACTAGAGTTTTTATTTTATTGCTTTTTACCAATTTCAGTATATATACAGCATTTCAGCCAATTTTCATGCTTCGATGACTTTATCAGACAACTCTTCCAATCATTATCCTTCTTGCTATTATTTTAATAGTCTCAACTATACGATATATTTTACCTTTATCATCATAAAATGCTTAATATAGAAGTTTCTACATCAACTTGCTTGGCCTTTGGGGTCGTAATGGGGATGATTTGCATGAGAATCATAGAAAATTGATACTCTATCATTGTTTATTTTCATATTATCCATTTCCATTGATGTTGTATAAGAAACCTAATTACAAGTATAGTTTCGTTTTGTGGTTTTACTATCACACAGTTTTGTAACAGTGACTTACATATGGAAAAAAGATGTATAATTGTATGAAAATGGTTAAACTCTATGAAATTTGACTCTACTCCAAAATTAATTTATAATCATACGGTTCATAACCAGACTCCCGTATCATTATACATACTCATACACAAGAAATGACAATATATAACACTAAAACTTAACCGAGAATTAAGTTACCTTTTCTTGTTTATCTACGAAGAGGTTGCAAGATTGTCTTGAAATAAATTGCGGCGCACCTCACACTCTACGATATAAAAGTGCTGATTAATAAATAAATTAGAATCCAAAGGAATGGCGATGAAGTGCTTCACAGTGAAGTTCTTTCTTTTACTTTCTTTCTTTATTGTCGGAATCAGACTGAAGTCTTTGATTCTTAACAGAGTAACAGACTTTCGCAAGTTGCGGCTGTTAAATTTTACAATTTTTAATTATAATAAAATTATTTAAAAAAAAAAACAAAATATCTGGATATTTTTCATTATAACAATTAAAAATAGAAACATAACAGACATTAACGGAACGCACGAAACTCGAGACGTACAGAGTAACGCGAGGTTTGAGGAAAGTGATGTTAGTCTATCCTTAATTCCTTAGCCGTCACTCCGTCACCGTCACATGTTCGCATGTTCTTTCCACCAAATTTTCGTTCCATTTATTTATTTGGTCATTAGATTTTCTAGCATATTTTTTGGTTTTTTATTCTTCTGCAAATATCTTCCTCGGTAATAATATCGTTGAAAAATCGGAAAACAAAAATCTTCCTCGATAATATATGTTTTCTCTATAAATGGATAAAGACCTAGCGACTTGCGAGTTCTTTTTCCTTTTTTTGGTTTTGGTACCATGAACCAATCACATACTCCGATTTTTCTTTCCTTTTTGGTCTTTCGGCTACTTTTATCGTAGTTTCTACTTTTTTTCTATCTGCATTAGAATCATTTCTGTTGTAACAACAAAGGAGATGACAATGATTCTTCTGTATCCTACACATAGAGTCTTCAACCGTCGCTTAGTATTAACGCATGTTATTTCAGAGTCGTTTTAAAATTACAATTACAATGTTTTTATTTATTTAAAGTATATGAAGACTAGAAAAAAACCTTCTTAGCAAAAAATAAAACAGGTTTAAAATAGCTGTAGAAGTCACATTAGCTCAAAGCAGTATTGATTAGAGTAGAGAGCCATATACTTGTTTTGTTCTGCCCCAGAATCCAAAATCTTTTTCAGTTGAATTAGACATAAATTGTAAAAACAAGTTTTTTCTTTTAGATCCTACAAATTCTATACTCTGCCACACTTGATGTAACAAAGGCTTTTGATTGAATATAATTTTACATTCAAAAAAAAAATTAGACATAAATTTCACTACAACGTTGCACTCAAGTAGAAATGGTGATTTGATTATTTATTTTTGTGTGTTTATGTTCATAAGTAATAGCAACACTTGCTTTTGGAGAAACGGTAAATCTAATCTCCATAATTGATCGTTTACAAAAAAATCTTAATAATAAGCAATTCAACTTGACTTCGTCAATGGAATCGATTTTTCCAAAGCGCTAATGGATGGGGTCCCTCTAAAGATAAGCATAATTCAAGGTGTCTGGATATTCCTTGGTATCCAAGACACCAAATTAAACAAAAATAAATTCAAACCATAATTTAACTAAATTACAGTCAACTTTACCAGATGGATCGAGTAGGGTTTATAAACACTAACTCTGCTCATGATTTAGAATTAGGTCGTCTTAAGTCAAACCCAAATTGGGCGGCCGAGAAGAAGTTCATGAACATCAATTTAAACATGTTTTTTTTTTCAATTGTTAAAGCTGAGTCAAAAGACCATTCAAAAATTGAAAACATGTCTTTTTTTCTTGGAAGTTTCCAAAAAAGAAACAGTCGCTAGACTATTCGCGATAAGAAACTAAAGACACGTGATTGATTTTGAATTGTGATCTTATCATTGGTGATAATACAAACTATTAAGTTACTTATACTAATCACTGCACGATTTGATGAGTATATGATTCGAGTTTTTATGATGGGTAGGTATATGCCATATGGTGTGCACGGCCTATATTAGTTGTGAGCTTAAAGGGCCTAACCTTGGGTGGAGTGGGTCTATACTTGGGCTTACGCTGTGAAACCACAACAGCATATACAGCTCTCTTTTTTTGTCTAAACTTCGCTAGCTTTGTTTATAAGACATACAACAAAAAAAACTTATACAGTATAAAATACTCCGTACTTCTTAAAGTTATGATGTCTGGTCTGTCCATCTTCCATAATGACAGTAGTAAATTCAAGTTCCGAGAAATTTTTATAGAGGCAAGAAAGAAAAAGCATTTAGGAGTATACATTATTCAAAAGACAGGTTATTCTTACAGCAAGCCCCTAATGAAGAAGAGAAATAGTTACGTTATCCTATAATTTTACATAATTAAGTTAGTATACAATATGACTTTATAGCAATATGACTTAAAAATAGCAATTTCCTGACCCAAAATAAAATAATCTATTGAAAAAAAGGTTTTACATGGTATTTCTCCGTTTTTCTTACAATCATAACTTAAAATTTTACAGATAGTAATATTTTAGCTCACCTGTAAAGATACTTAAATCCTAAAATATTACATACAGATAATAGTAAAAGAACTCTAAATCCTAAAATATAAATCCAAAACCCTAAAATCTAACATTGAACCCTTAAATCTGAACCCTAAACCCCAAAATCTAAACCATAATCTAGAATTAGTGAACCCAAACATATATATTAAAATTAGGAAAAGGTGTATTTTTGAAAATTTCCACACTATAGATGTAGTTTTGAAAATTTTCACCTCAAAAGATGTATTTCATAAAATTTCTCTACTTTATATGATAATTCTAAACTAGTTTTATTTTTGTTTTGAAGAGTAGTCGCTTAGATAATAATAAAAATATAAACGTATGTATATTATATAATTTTATCAATACATGTGTGAATTTTGAGAACAATACCTGGTTGAAACTGATGGGATATTATAGGCTATTCCAAAAATATTATTATACGTTGGCCCCAAAACTTCATGTCTCTAGAAAGTTGGCTCACAAAATCATACACCTATTGGCTTTGCAACAAGAACGTACGATATATGACATTACACACTTGTTAGATTGGAAACAAGACTGAAGTATTGAACACATAAAACTTAACCATAAGTCCGAAAGCTGAGAAACGTGTCTCATACTGATCGGTGGTGAAGATTAATCCATTACTGTGATTTTATGTTACTTATTCTTAGCAGCACACGTCCAATTTAATTATTAATCCAAACATTATCGAAATCCGGAAAGGAAACAAAAATTGTTAAAATGGAATAACAACACTCTTAGTTTCATAATATTAAATTCCACACCTTCCGAGAAATTTTATTTTCATACTAATAAATATGAAAATACAAAACAAAATCATCATCTAAGAATCTGTGCATTTCCAAGCATCTGGTGATGATCAGACCGTATCGTCCCACACCCTTTTCCTCCATACCCTCCACCAACGCCGGCCGGTGTTGACGTCATTCCTCCGCCGTTAACAACCGCATGCTCCTCCAGCGACTGCACCTGCTTCTTGAGAAACTTAACATAATGGATAGCTTCATCGAGCATCGACGCCGTATCCATCTTGGTTCCACCGGGGACAAGCCGCTGAAGAATCCGGATCCTTTCGCTTATCCTCTCTCTTCGATGTCGAGCAGCAACACTCTGTGGATCTTTAGAGATCCTCACGTTCTTTCTCTTCGGTGGCTTCACGGCTTCTGGATCAATATGTATTGGTTGCATCACGGCTATTCGAAAGATCATCTCTCGCATGGCCGCCATGTTGGCGTTGTCACCGCCTCCTCTTTTGTCCGGGAGAGATGATGACGTGGAGGGGGCATACCGGAAATTTAAACCGGGTTGGTGGTGAGTGATGGTTGGGTCAAGTAGTGGGAGATGGGTATGGGAGGGGTTGAAGAAGAAAGGGTGGGTGTTGGGGTCAGAGAGCATCATGATGTTATGGGAAGTATTGTTAGGGTTTTGGTTAGTGAACTGATCAGGAAGCTTCTCCATCTGCTGCATCATCAAGTTCATTAGCATGTCGGAGTTGTCCATTCTCTTTTCTTTTTTGTTTGGAATTTATAGAGATTCGTTTTCTTTGAGAGATATGGAGAAGCTGGTGAGATAAGGTATGGAGGAAGAAGGAGGACTGACAAAGCTTGAAATTTTAGGGTTTTGTGTTTCTGAATCACATAGGAGGTGATGATGGAAGAGAGAGAGGGAGAGAGGTATGTGTAAAATGCAAACTGTTACTGCCAATCAGAGATTCAGCAATATAACAGGAAGTGAAGTATTTATATAGCACTTTGTGACCCATCCTTATTCTTTAACTTATTATAGCTATATACGTGTATATACACACACTATATATGTGACAATAAGGATTGTTTTCTTTCTATTTTTCACCCTCTTAAAATTTCACACTTTAAAGTACACATAGATGATAGCTGTTGAAAAATGTTTTCATGCTTAAACATGGATGTTCCAACCTTCCATGCATTGGATATTTGTATTCATTTTGCGCACAAGATTTTACTAAACTATGGATAAGTTTATATTTAATGAAGGTTAAAACTATTTACGTTAAACTTTCAATAGTACTACTATTTTGTATAGAATCAGTCAGTGATATATATGGCTTTGTCTGAAAATATAGCAACTCGATCGCAAGAGATCGAATATATGAGAATTCTTTTAGCTGAAAAATGAAATATTCGTACATCTATTAAGAGTTACATTAACCGTCAGTTCACGAAAGATTATCCTTATTCAGATCGACCGTTCTCATATTTTTAACGAAGCAGACGTGTCACGAATCGGTGGGATATCGGACCCACGAGTCTTTGAACAAATGCGATTGTGGACAAATCAAGATGCATGAACCGCTCTCACCGTTCAGGCAGTCACGATGAATTTTCCTATTCCTACAATTAACAAAGAAATTGTAAAACTTTTTTTTTTTGTTATCTCGGTTCGAATATTAGACCTTCAAAATGAAAATTTTGTTTTGAATAATAATGGGAAAGAGGGTAGTCGTGTAGTTGTGTCCCCTTTTTTGTATCTAAACTTTATATTATTATTTTTTGTTATAATTGTTAATTACCCCACATCCACATGAAATATGTCAGAACCCAGTGAACCCATCTGTTTCGCCGGGATCTGTTCAGGCGACGGCGAAATATAAACCAAAACATGAAACGGTTAATCTTGAATTTTGGATCCAAAATATTATGCATAAGAATATGAGAGATGCAGTGTCTATGTTTTACCCTTGATTACATACAAGTTTATCTATAGTTAATTAACAAGCTAGAACCCATGATTTTATAATGAAAAAAATTAGATTTTATGCACCTTATTATGTAGGAGTATGTGTTATGGAAATAATGCTGTCTATATGTATAATGGACTACTACATAAATAATCGAATCTCAGTTGGCGTCGAGCGTTGGTGTATGGCACGCTTACCAAAGCCGATCGGAGAGGACTTATTGCGATCTTCTTTTTAATACATTTTTTTCCATTTTTTTTTTATCAAAAGTTTTACGTGATGTTTGCTGATAAGAAAAAAAGAACATAAAAAGAGGTGAATTAATAACATTACAGTTAAGATGGAAGCACTTCAATGAGCAAATTAATAAATGACTCTTGCCTTAAAAATGTATAAGTCCAGATGACATCCAAACCTCACTATCTTCAATCAAGATTAATGTCTGGCTGTATTTGTACAAAATCATTATTAAAAAAAAAAACCACACGTTGAAAAATCACTTCATTTGACGTCATATACATCAAACAATTAATTTTGTTTTCTGTTAATTTAAGTAACGCTGATTTCTTCTTCTTCTGCTTCCCTGTAATTAGACAAAAATAGGCAGACACAGTAAGTTGCTTTGGATTTGGTTTTACCCATTTATGTTGACACTGAAACATGTAAGAAAACCAACGAAACGATGACGTTTCGCTGCCCTCACTTTTTCAATCAAGAAACCAGCATTGAAAATAACAAAAACAGATGCTATTTTCCCTTTTTCACCTTTTACCTCAACAGTCACTGTAAGAATTAAACACTCCTCCTTCCCACGGGATCTTATTTTCTTAACCAAGATTCGAAGTCTTGTTCGTACTTTTTTTCTTGTCTCTCGAGGACTTTCTTTTCCGGAGTTTTTTTTTTTTTTCTACTGATCATATTTTCTCAAAATCGGCGATGTCTTTCATTACGTTATTGACTGATAAATGCCGTTAAAATCGAGAGTGGTATTTTCTTTCTGAACCAGCTAGTGCATTCGAGATAGTTTTGCTCAAAGCCTAAATATTATGATTGTTTTTGTAATTTTCTTATGTATCTATTCGTGGGTATTTAGTTTCGTTGATGTGTTTTTCTTGAATGGTTTAAAATGCTTTTTTGTATATACAGTGATAAAACATTTACAATATAATAAAGAAAAATATCGAGATCTATAAAACTATTGCTTCGTGTAATTCACTCTATAAACAGTTTTTTACGACTCATGGTAACTGGTTCAAATCAATACCATTTGTAAAGATCATATCTCTCAAATTATTTTGTATAAAACCTCCAAAGTAAAATGAAACTTATAAAATAGATTTTGATGAAATCTAGGCTTTTTAGTACATTGGTAATCAATTAGTACTGGCCTTTTCTCAGTCGAATGTATTTACTTTTTAGAAAATGGTCGTCGTATTATTTGGTTATCTGGTTGAGGATGGGCACTGTATTAAAATAACAAACATTGGGATCTTCGAAATTGTAAATCTAGTTGCTAATAGTCAGTAGTATAGTTAAATAATTAAATACATCAAAACTGGGGTAGGTTGCCTCCTAAGGCAAGGTAGTGATACAGCTGTGTTCATGTCACAAGCATCATCTATGCCCGCTGCTCCTTATTAACACCACAGTTTGTATCATCCAAATGATCAATCACGATTTCCGACAAAGTTAAAATAATCAGAATTTCAAATATTCATCGTTTGGAAAATTAAATAGTTATTTTGTTAATGTCGTGAACAAATATACACAAGAAATCGCACAAAGGTCCCAACATTACCACATGAGGGTTTCTGATGATCATTATAATAGCCTTTTTTTTCCACTCGATCATTACAATAACCTTGATATTAGGTTTTATAGATCACTTTCTTATCGTATCTTATAATTTCTTGAACAAGTGCTCTGTATTCTCCTGACACATTTCTATCTTCCCCTTATTTTTTTCATTACTATATTGTTCGTATATAGAAAACGATAGATATGAATTAATATATTTTCTTCGCATTATCTTTTCTTCAATGCTTTTTTATTTTATTTATTTATCTCCAATCTCTCTTTTTATTCGGATAAATTCTCATGTTCTCTGTGACAGGATAAAGTTCATGCACCCCTCTTTAATTATTGCGATTATTGTTATATTTATATTACTGTATATATTTCACTATATCTTGGGGGATTTTCTTAAAGAAATATTTTCTTCGAATTTCCAGTGAAACTTATGAAAGAATACTCACCAGCTTTATCAATACGTAAGTTCATAAATAGAGAGAACTAGGATTGATGTCAACTTCATTACAATAATGGATTAATCCTACTTGTATATTGTAATCAAACAAATAAGAAAATAATAACAAAAACAGAAATCTCATATAATATGCATATGGAGAGGCAAACAAAAGTCAAAGCCTAGAAGATGGGAGCCTCCGTAATCGGGAGATAAAAATTATACCAAGTTTAATGTGTAAGAATTCAGACAAACAAATGGGTGATTTGATAAAGATTTGTTTTTTCATAAAAAAAAAAGTGCCGTATAAGAAACTATTATGGGATGAAGAGGAGTAGATCGATCATATGTCCCTTTTATTGGATCTCCTCTCTTTTATTTGTTTCTTTCTTGTTTTCTAGTAGGTTTTTGGTATTTGGTACATTCTTTGACTCTTGTTTTTTTAGCACCCATCCATGTCCCTTGTGCTATATTAAATGCATGCAATTTATGTATTTTCAAAATGTATATTGTAAGATATATCTTTTGTTTTCATTATTGAATATAGAAATTTCTAGATGAACTGAAATTATCATTTGAAAATAGCTTTTTTTCAATATATGGAGGTCATGTAAAAATCACAAAGGAATTGGAAGTTACGTTGAAACGAAGTCTTTCATTTTCGGGTGAGTTCTTTAGACCATCTTCTGAAAATGCTAAGATACAAGCGATTGTAAACAATATGGGTTGACAACTTGACATCATCGAATCTTATATATCAGTGTTGTTGAAGACCCTGAGAAGTTATAACAAATCGTTGTATTAGAAACTTTACATATATTTTATAGTACAAGAAAATTTAGTTTAATCAACTCATGATGGTAACCATGATTCTAATACTAAATAGTTCGAAATGTACTACTAAGTAAAATACTGAGCTTGACTTACAAAATTCGAATAAGGCAATAGCCATTGCGTTACATATAGAAATTAAAAATGCAAAATTGAAAACCCGGTTAAGGAGAGCCAAGTTATCAACTGGTTAAGATTTAAATGGGCCTGAAAGCTCATGTGCCTAATTATGATACGGGCCTATAGTTTTAAAGTCAACAAGACCAGAAGCAAAATGGTGGAGCTATGCTTCTTGTTGCGTATAATGGTGATCTTCTATATAATAGCTCTCTGTTTGTGAGTAACATTGTAAGAGTATCTGAAAGAAAGATTTTCTGAAGAGTGAAGATTTACAGAGAATCTAATGAGTAGTGTCAGTAACGGGGAATGCAAAGACTATGCAGCTGTCATTAGCGAATGATATGAGATAATGAGAAGATTCAGAGATTATAATACTACGAACGAAGAAGAGTCTCTTGAGTTCAACTTAGTTTTCGCAGATAATTAAGGCAATCGTTTTTGTTGGAGGTGAATTAGAACATTAGAGAAATTAGTTACACGACTACTTCGTTTTTGGACTCTTACTTGATAATGGATCAAAACGCCCTTATTCTACCAAGTTCTTGGACCAAATCTTGTGGTCGTCCCCACGGAACAAGCAGTAGTCAAAAGTTTTGTACTTTGTACAGTAGTATTTATTTTTCTCAATTCACGAAAATGTTAATAGATAAATTGAAAAATTCAACCTAAATTGCGCTGTGTGTATACAAGCCGAAAGAAAAAGAAACAACTATACAGATTATCTTTTTCCAACTTGTTAGAATCTATGAAAACTAGTTGAAGACTAATTTAACCAAATCAGATTTAAATACATAAAATAAGGTGAAAAGTCAAACCAAACAAATAAATAAATAGTCCATCAACACGTAACATATTAAGCGGACCGAACCATCCTTTTAGCCGATACACGGTCTCACGGACAACACTTCTTCTTCTTCTTCTCTCACCGCTCGTCTACTCCACGGCCCACACAACATGTCCATTCGCATCTGTCTTATCGACGGCCAAGATCTGATCTGATCTGACATGTCATGTTTGAATTTAAAGACGGATGGTGAGGAACGTGATGGGCGGTGGGATCTGCACGTGATCAGAGGAGCAACGGTCTGATCGGATGATTCTTCTTTTAGTGGTAGCAGTGACCGTTCTGAAGAAATTATTATGTACCGACATTATCATATACAAAACAAATATTTTCAAGTACGATGCTACTACCACTCATATGACTTCTTTACGGGAAATATTTAAAATTGTACAAAAAGGTTTGGTGTACAATAATAATACTAGAAATGTTTGCATTGAATTAAAAATACATTATTTGGGAAATAATGATTGCAGCAACAGTCCTTTTACGGGTAAAGGTTGGTTATGATCACTGATCACAACGTAAGCAAAACATTTTAATTCCTGAGTGTACCTAGCTGTATACTCTCTGATACATCTCATCTAACCATATTGTTTTCTGGATTATTAAGTGTTTGGTATAGGACACATCTTTTTTTATTTTGGCTCAATTCCTTAATAATATCTCCAATAATTGTCCAAATTAATGCCTATACATTATTTTCTGCTTTTATTACGACATTTGTTTGAACACATGCTCAATTTGTTTGGAGAAAATCAGGAATGATGAAACTAAAAAAACTATTAATCGTTCGTGGTTAAGTAATCATTTCATGGTATTTTTTAACGTCGTTCGATACCGCACAAAGATTGGAGTGAAAGACAGCGTTGCGTTATGAAAACAACGTCGGTCTCGCCATCGTTCGCGGGACCCGATAACGTTATTTTGCGCTTTGTTTGGGAAAGTCGTCACACGTGCATTGGTGTTTCTTTTACAAGATTTTAGAGATATTACACAAATAAACCTTTAAAAGTAATTAACCTAAAAATCCTGAAAAAATAAATCTCTTATATTACCCCTCTCTCGAAAGCAAAATTGGCTATATTAATGTAAAAATTTCGGTTTTATTTACTACTTTTCGGAGTGTGTTTGTTTTAGATGGGGGAAAATTATAAGTTTACATATTTGAATTTTATACCTTTTGAAATCGTTAAAACTATTACCGTATTTTTTGAATATTTGTAAAATTGTAATCAAGATGGGTAATTAAAGGGAAATCTCGATCGGGGAGTGTTATCATGACCGGGAAACCGACTCGACAAGTTTCCCGATTCGTTTGACGACTTCAGGAGACAGCTGCTTCACCGGTTTCCTCTCCTTCTCCGGTCGAAAATCAAAACCGAGTGCGTCTGACACTTCCTCGGAGCTCCATCCAGCTTGTCGGAGAGACTCCGAGAACCGACCCGCTTTCAAAAGCAATGCATCTAAAACCGCTTGATTGTCTAAGATTACCATTTCACCCTCAAAGAAACCAGATGCTGACACGTGGACGATATCTTCGACGTCCGATTCGCTCCACCCGCCTCCTCTTAAAATCGACCCGATCCGGTTCACGTAATCGTCGACCCATTTCGGCGTCTCCGATCTAGGAAAATCTACATATCTCTCCGGAGATGAAGAGTGTGACGACGACATCGAAGAAGCCGAGTTTCTCCGGCGACGATCCACCGCAGCATCACTCCAAAACTCCACCCATCTCGGTGTACTCGATCCGTGAACCCGACCCGAATCTAAGCTCATTCTGGAGAAATTCGACGAGGAAGACGACGACGACCCGGCGGATTTCTCGCTCACGGAACGCTGCTTTTTGAGAATAGCCGGACACGCGTCGGATGCTCTGAATACCGACTCACGCTCGAAGAAATCGGAAAGATCCGACCCGCAACAGAAAATCCGAGTCTCGTCGATGTAGAAAACCGGGTTACCCGCTAAAGACGGGCTACAAGGAATGAAGCAGTGATCGAAAATGGGTATCATCAAAGGAGCTCTTTTGAGAGCGTTTCTCGCGACCCGTAAGGCCTTTTCCGGGTCGGACGGTCTCGGGCCCCAAGATTTGCTCCAGAGAGTGTTTCTCGCGATCTGAAACGACACGGCTGCGATTGGAAGATCGATCATGGCTCGGAGATGGAGACGAGCTCCGGGAGAACGCCAGTCTGGAAATCCGGCGCCGACTGGTAAACCGGCGGTGAGAACGGCGCGGAGATCCGGTGGGAAAGCGAATGCAAACTCTGCTTCGGCTCGGGCGAATTCGGAGTCGGTTAGACCCGGTTGGACTTGGATTCTAGAAGTGTGCAAGTGTGAGATAACTTGGTCGGCGAGAGATGAGAAAGAGACGAGACTGTTCCTGACCGTCGGAGTCTTTGGTGCGGCGGCTCGAGCTGAGAGACGACGGAGACCCGCCGCGTGTGCTGGCCGGAGACCGGTCATCCTCCGATCAACGTCGACCATTTTCGTTATTTCTTGGGAAAGAACAAGAATTTCGGGGGAAGAGCTATGAAAAAGAGTGAAGCTTTATGAGTTATGGGGTTTCAGATATGTCTGATCACTGATGGCGAACTGCAAAAAAGATGATAGGCGAGAGAGAGAGAGAGAGAGAGAGAAGCTTTGTTGATCAAAGTGTAATGAGCTTCTTTTATTTATAGCAAGTTTTGTTGGTGGGTCCTACTAATTGTCTTTTCTATTTATTTGGTTTTATTTGGTATTTAATTATTTATGAAATATTGAAATAATAGTTTGATTTGTGAGAGAATCTCTAGTGACTTCATCAACTAGACTAATTCGATGATTAAAGTCTTTATATTTTCTTCATTGAGAGATACTTTAATTTATGTACATTTTGTTAGTTATCTAGATCAGCATCAGATACCTTTCTGATCGGTTTACACTTTCACGGCTCTGATTTTTTTGGAATCACGTAGGACCCATGCGTAAATTATGGATACAAGCAAGTTTAATAAAATCAGATTGTCACATTAATCAAACATTAGAAGAGTCGGTTCATAAATAATAAAGTTATCGATGTTTTACTGTAGTATGTAAAACTATTTCTAGCAATTTACCTAAATTTAGATGAATTAGATCACCTCATTTTTCTATGGACTATCATAACTTTGAAGGTATTGGCTAAACTCATCAAAACTTAGTCCAAAACCGAGTACTAATCTGGTTTAGAGTCGACCTCGGTGGGATTAGAGGTTTGCTTCGGATTTAGAAGCATTGTAGATATTAAACAAAGGTTGTCAAGTGTGATTAGACGTAACCCAAGTACCCAACATGATACCCATTTCGCCACGCTGCATCAAATCATGTTCCTCATTTCAGTAGGGACAAAATAGATACTATTAATCACTGTTTGATTATGGATATTAGTCATTTAACCATAATCTTTGCAGCGGATTCAAAAGTATATAAAACTAGACATCGTGGTATTAGAGGATTTTGTTCTTTCTATAATATCCTAATTTGAAAGTCCTGACGGAAAACATAAAAACCAGTACACATGCAGCTTACGCGTGAATTGTAGTTGTAAAGTTGAAAATTCCACCGCTTGTGTTTTTTCTTCTATTTTGTGTTAAAACATATTTTACTTATCTATCTATATTGTAGTTGTGATTTGATTTAATGCGATCCTGAATCTATGACCGTTGATGCAATAATCTTTGGGGGTAAGCAATAAAAACGCTCACGCGACTCTAGATCACACTACTCGGGAATCTCACATGCTAATACCAATACGGCATGGATTCTTTAGAGAAAAGCAAAATGTTTTTAGCTAGTGTTAAATCGAAAAAGCATGATTTTAAAATAGTGATCTTGTAGTACTACAATCTTCAATAGCTTATTAAAATGTGTGGAGATAATTTAAAATTACGTTTGTATAAACACACTAGTTTGTGTATTCATTTTCAAACGTCGTCGAAGCTGCCTAGTATTAAAAGAATTAATTTCAAATAAACGGTCACTTTGTCAGCTTAACCACATGTTAGGTATCGGGGGAAATCACATGTTAGGTATTGGTTAAGCCTAGATATGCCTTTAAGTGTTAAGTTTTATACGTAAATTCGAAATATAGTCAAATTTCCATGAACCATTTGTCAAATTTAATACGTTAATGGGTCAACGGCACATACTTATAAATTATTATACAAAATGTACGTGATTCGGACTTAGCTTAAGGAGCACTAAAGGAGTTTGTTATGTTTTCTAAGAGATTAAGTTGTAAATTACATTTATTTGATGTTCACACTTGCAAATCAAATGATAATACAAAATCTATTTTTAGCTACTTCCCGGCCGTTTTAAGAAAGGAATTCTAGCTTTTGATAATTAGTTCCATTTGAACTTATAAAATAGCATCCCAACCAACACACTTGTTTTGATAATTACCAGAGTATCTACAGAAATATCATATCTTAAATTCTAAGTAACATATACAGTTTTATAATCAACGGCGAAATAACAGAACTAATGATTCTTTAATCTGCAGGTTTTCACAACGCCTCAAGATCGTAAATTTGTGTTCACTCATTCAGAAAATTCAATAATAAATCTTACTATCGTATATCCCTATATTTGTTACAGTTTGTTTCATTCTATCACCTCCTACTATCTTCCCATTATAGTAACACTATCAACGTTGGGAATATATTAAAAACAATAAGTAATCAAGCTAACTAGACAAGTAACTTGATACTTCTATACCACTCCACTTGTTCTGTCTAGTTATAATTGTGTCCGACCCATTTCCAAAGTTTTAACTATTTTATCTATTTATATATTCTCAACGTTTGGTGGTGTTGTACCGTTCACATACAAGCCCAACTACAGTAAAACCTCTATAAAGTAATAACGTTGGGACCACAATATTTTATTACTTTAGCGAGATTATTATTTTATCGAGAGATAATTAGACCAAAAACTTAATTTAGGATTCGAAAATTCTATTCATTTATCGAGGTATTACTTTATCGAGTATTACTTTATAGAGGTTCTACTGTACACTGTACTAAATTAACAATTTCTCTGAAACATTATTGATATGATGTAATTTACTGATGAATCGACCAAATTATTTTTCAGTTTCCTGTTGATTTACTTGACATAATCTATCAACAGAGTGGTCATCTTGATAGTCATCAAGATAAAATATAGATATACTCCCCAAAGTTATGGTTGTAAAAAAAAAAAAAAAAAAAATCAACCTTAGATCTCGTGATCCTAAAAAATGGAGCAGAAAAGAAGCTGGATCAGATCTGTAGGTGATACAACTTATAAGAGGTTTTGGTATTATTAATGTTGACAAGACAAGAAATTGTTTATTTTTATTAAAATTGACCATTTTTTCGTCGATACATGAACTATATTATACGATGTGAAAGGTTGGACTTAGGTATGGGTAAGAGTTAATGAAATGTTCATAAGGTGAAGAGTTTTTGTTGTCTGGGTGTAAAGCTTTTGGAACATTTACAAGTTAGATGTTTAATTGTTAGCTGAAGTTGTGTGACATTTTGTAGGGTCCATTTGTCCCAACCACACAATATAACATCTTATAATGAATAAATCGGAGGTGCCATTTCTTGCAACTAGTTCATTGATTATGTTAGGAATAAGTATATGTTGTGGTCGATTGACTGAAATTTATAAGAGACAATTTAAAAAGAAATTGTGACTTTTATAGTGCAGTTCCAGTTTCATCCAATTTGGTCTGAAAGCTCTTACTCTACCATAAATATAACATATCTCTACTATAAGCTCTAGTTGACTATCCCAAATCAAGTTTAGATCAAACTTCTTATTTTGCACGACAAATGATAAGGTCAAACATCTTCGACTTCACGTGATGTTCCTCATATCTTTGACATATATGTCGACGAAATTTATGGCAATAACCTTGAATGTAAAGTGTTGTTACAAAAAGTCATTGTCGTTAGACAATTTTGGTCAGTTTGTGTGGCATATAGACTCTATCGACCGTTGTTATGTCCCCACTCGATCACAACTATCGATCAGTCAATTTGGTCCAACAGCTTTGGTTTGGTTCAATGTCTTCATAAGAAATACGAAAAATGTCAAATCTCTTGTTGTGATGGGTTAGTTTTCGTAATTGAATTTTCTTGTTGGTTGATGCTAAGAGAACATAGGGCATATGACAAGTTTGGTGTATACAACTTCCTTTCAACTGATTGAAAGAAAAAAACCAAAAAGGAACCAAAATACCATTATTCTAATTATATATCGATAATTATTAATTCTACTAGCACTGGTAATTTTTGTTTTATCATACCTAATTCTTTTAATAACCAGATCACATTGTCGTGATGGATTATCGAGATTTCTCATACAATTCGTAATGATTATGTTCATGAGAAAACAGTTTGGTTATGCTAGATATTAGTGAACCAATTGAGAGTACTTCGACCATTAACGAGTGAACATAATTACGCTTTTAAATTGTTTTTTTTTAAACAAGGGTTTACGCTTTCAAATTGTTGGGAGCCAATGTATCTTATTGTAGCCCTGTTCGTGCGAGGAGACGTCCATGACATATCTTGCTCCGTATGAACAAATATTTGTTCTTTTTCGTCAAAAAACATATTTTGGTTTTTGGAAAAAACATTATAATGAAGATAGAAACATTATGATAATAACTTCATAGGTTTTCGAAAAAAAACATTTAATCACATATACTCCCTCCATTTTTTTAAGATGAATTTTCTAGACATTAGTTGTTGTTTCACAAAGATAAATTTTATACCTTTTTGATACACTTTTTCAGTTTTCAAGAAACAATGATTGTATTTGTTAGATTTTTATTGGTTAAAAAGTATAAAAAGTTGTTTTATTGCAGAAATCAATATACTAATGATTGAAAATCTTGTTTTCCCTAATATGTGTGAAAATTCTAGAAAATTTATTAAAAAAAAACGGAAGGAGTATTGGTTTAATCGCATTTGAAGGTGAGCCACTCGAATATAATAACAAAATACATAAATAAGACCTATATTATCTCACTGATATACTAGTATTAATATATTCTAAAATTCCGTAACCAATAAAAATGCTATATAATTAAATAAACTCAAAGAGGGTTAAAAGCTTATCTCCTTCCACAATAACCTGTTTTACAAATAACTAAGAGAAAGTAGACCGTATTATATATCCATATAGGTATATCAAGTTGCTATATAAAGTTTTAAACTGATAATAGTTGGTAATATTATATGCACAACAAAACACACTATTCCCGTTCTTATCAAATATAATTGCAATATTACTACAGTTTAGTCTGAATTCGTTTAAAAGCTTAGTTGAAAATATTTTTTTTTCCAGCGAAAATATGAATTATATTAGTCACAGTACAAAGAGTGAGTTATTAGTCAGGTGAAAACTAATTTTAAAATAATAGTTACAAAATACATAAATAAGGCATATATACAATCTCAACAATAGACTATATATATAGCATTAATATATACTCTCTCTCTTTTAAATTAGTTGTAGTTTTGGGAAAATGTATCTATAATTGTTTGGATGTGTTTTGAGTTTAATACATCAAAATAATTACAGATACATGACAAATAATTTGAAACAAAGGGAGTACTAAATATCATAACCAATACAAATGTTACAATAATAAATAATTTCAACGAGGTTTAAAGCCCTCCCATGTGCATAATACCTCATTAGTTATTACCTTCCACGCTAACATGTTTTACGAATAATTATGAGAACACGTAAACCGTATTATATAAAACAATATATGAGACTTAATCCAGTTTACAAATATTTTTGTTATGGTTGTTAATTAAGTCAAAATTCATACTTTTGCTTAGTTTTAAATTATAAATCACAGAAACGCAACTCTAGTTTTGTTAAAATTTTGACAACAAATTCTTGTTTCTTCAGATTACTATAACAATAAAATAGAAAATCCTGTTTAAAGTAGAAGAAACTTTATTCCTTGATTCACTACCACCTTTTCATAAAACCATTCACACTTTCCTCTTTTCTTTTATATAGCCATAGATTAATAAGCACCCGTGTGGTTGGTATCTCTGTCTCATATCTCTTCTTTATAAATAGATTCTTGGTAGGTCTTTGGGAAGGCTATAAAGCATACTATTGTAGAAGCGTGCGTGCAGTGGCGAAGGATAAAGCGAGTTTCTCATTGTTTTCTTCACTATTTTTGAATTTTCATTCAGTCTTTTACTTATTTTCTTTGTTGGAATGTCGTTCCCCAAAGTGATTTCCGTTTTTCTTTCATTCTCTCTGTACATGGGAAGGCTACAAAAGCATACTATTGTATACTATTCTTCCGTATATGTTGCACTCCTAATTACGTATGAATATGGTACCTTTTGGGGGCATGCCAAGAAGAGATTATACATTTATACAAGAAGTTTTGTAATGGAAATTTTCGGTTGCAGAAAAAAGTGAAACTGTGGAATCACTCCAAAAAGTTACATGAATGATTCTTTTATTTAGAACTAAAATTTGGGATCATATAAAAAAGAGTAGAACAAATTTGTAGCTGTAAACCACACTTCCGTGTCACTGTTCTAGAAACATTAGTATAATCTAATGCATTTTGCCAACGTACAGACATATTTATCATTGACAAGTAATATAATTTTTAGAGCAGGCCTATCCAGTGCGACGCATCAAACTCTAAACGAGTAAAGATTCCCACTACTTTCGCCAGATATTGAGTTTTGAGTTAATGATCATTGGCTATGTTGTTGAGGTCAAACATAATGAGTCTGTTAAGTTTGGTTCACTGCCCGAATTGGACCGTTTATTGTTCAACAACTACTTCCGCTCTCTTTACTGTATTTAGTTCGACCACTAAACTATTATTTAAGCACAGTTTGTTGAACCGGCTATATATAAAACAATTTTTACGGTACATTTGGACATTAATGACTTGCACGTTGGAGGCAGTTCTAAATGTATTTTCAACATTTAAGCTGAACGTAGAGAAATCCTGAATTGGATTTTATGATTAAATTAAAAGATCAGAGTCAAACATAATCCATGTGTTAATCTAAATTTAATCCAAAATGTTATATGAAATCCTGCACAGTAAAATATGTTATTACAAGTATATAGTATGTAAATCCAGCTTTATGTGTGGTTTAGTTTGTTAATCATGCTATATTGCTAAGTTCATTGTTATTGGGCCATAAGAAGCTAATTGGACCATAAGTCCATAGAATAAATCCGCATCGTCTCCTGTAATCTAAAACAGTATGCTTTTGTCGAAAGGACATTATGCTACTTGAAGGAGTTAAGGTCGTTTAACTACCATGAATCCACTAGTATATTTCAATACGTTAAAGTAATCCACCAAACATTTTTCAATATGATTTTTCACTCGTGGAATATCTTTATTCAATCATAAAAAATGGAAGAAAATCTAAATTTTCTATGTAGATTTTATGCAATGACAACTTGTTTTGGCTTACCCCGTTAAGGCGTTAATTCCAGGTAAATTACACATACATACTTTATTATAAAATACAAAAAAGCCAGATCATCATGACTTGGGCCGGCCCAATTTCCATTCGTCGGCAACACACACACACTCTCTCTCTCTCACTCCTTTATAAACAAATCCTCAACTAACATTTCTCTCTCCCCCTAACTAATTCCACTTATTTACCAAAAAACCAGCCATTGAGCCTGAAACCCGCCGTCCACCGCCGCACACCCCCTCGTCGGGGGTAGTGCGTCGCCTCCACACGCCTCCGTCAACTTCTCTCCTGAAGCAACACTCGTGGTCGCCGGATCTTATTCGCGAGGAAGCTTGGTCAAAGCGCCGCGATGTATCCCGCCGCCGTCGCCGCGGAAAGAGCTTGACGGACGACGATCTCGACGAGCTCAAGGCCAGTTTCGAACTCGGATTCGGATTCGGATCTCCCGAAATCGCCGATCGGAGACTGTCCAACACGCTTCCCGCGTTAGAACTCTACTACGCCGTTCAGAGAAGCTACAACGATGCCGTTTCAAACAAATCGTCGTCTTCGCTCTCCGACGGCGATACAAGCCCCCACACCGTATACCAAACCAGTATGTCTACACCTATGTATACACTGATACACAATTCATGATTTTGCGTTACTTATGATATCAAATTTTCATTGGATAGGTGATGATCCGCAGACGGTGAAGACGAAGCTGAAGCAGTGGGCGAGAGTGGTGGCGTGCACCGTGAATCAATCGCCTCCGAGATGAAAAATTAACGGCGTTAAATTAGACGTCTGTTAAAAATGTGATCAGGATACGTAAATTGAGGAAATGGCCAAACAAACGTGGAGCCCAGTATTCAAACACTGTAATATTATTACACACACAAATGTAAAATACCAATATATTTTGGACCCAACTTGTCTGTAGATTCATTACATTATTCCCCACTATAAATAAACATGTATAATGCCTGATTTGATTGATTTTTTTGGTGTGTATATGCAACAGACCACAATTTGCAAAATGTTTATTCTTAGATTCTGTTGTATTGACTTTGGACAGGCGTGAGGCTTCTCTTATATTCATGTGTAATATAATATTGTGCTTATAATAGTACAACTTGATTTTGCATACAGTGCGTAATTCAGATTAACTGATTTGATCCACAAATCAAACTAACAACTGATATGAAAATTAATCAAAGTTTCTATTACACTTGAAATAATTTTACTTTTAACTATGAAAAAGAAAATGAAGTCGTACCAAGCAAGAGTCAACTGGTTTGGAGTCAAATTAGTTTTGTATGGTCGCAATTCGGCATGGCTAATCTGTGTCAGTTATGGGCCTTTGAGTATTAAGGCCCATTTGACCCATTTTGTTTACCGCTTTTTCTGTATGAAAGAAAAGTCGAAAGTTGTAGAAACGTTTTTATTTCTTCGACGCGGAAACGAACAAGAGCGAAAGAAGCTTCATCGATCTGTGCGATTCGTGTTACGGAGAAGAAAATATGGTTCGTATCTTTGTTTTCTTCTTAACTTGTGTGTAAGAATCATCAAATTCGTGGGATCATATAAGGGATTTGGCGCTGCTAGATAACAGTTTTGCATTCTGGGTTTTAAGATCTGATAGAAACTTGAAATCAGCGAAGCTCGATTAAGATCTAGGATATCTAGTGAGCCTCATATCGAGCTCCATGGTTGAAGATTTCATTCGAAAATTTGATATCTTTTCTAAATTTCACGAGAAACCCCTTACCGTGTTAAAGTTCAGATTTTTTTTTTTTTTTTTTTTGGTTTCTAGTGAATTGAGCTGTCTCGTGATCAGATAATATCTATGAAATGCTTCCTATTTCGGAGATTTAATATTTTGGCGTTGATGTGTTACTGCAGTCGAGTTTGTACAGAGGTGTTTCGAGAAAAGAGAAACCGAGGCGTCATCATGGGTTAAATCAGCTAAAGAGGCAAGAGATCAAAGAAGCTTTCGAGCTGTTCGACACTGATGGATCTGGCACCATCGATGCTAAAGAGCTTAATGTTGCTATGAGGTGATTTGGAGTTTCTTTGTTTCTCTCTTCACTTTTATGATTTGGGATTTGTTTTGGAACTAATACTTGAAAGAAATTACTCTGTGACAGGGCTCTTGGTTTCGAGATGACAGAAGAGGTATGATCTGTTTTGGTCCTTGTTGAGTTTCACTAAGATTCATGCCTATTCCTCTCTACAAGGAAGGATGAATCTGATATCTCATGTGTTGGTTTTGATTTTTGAAGCAAATAAACAAAATGATTGCTGATGTGGACAAAGATGGAAGCGGAGCAATAGATTATGATGAATTTGTTCATATGATGACTGCTAAGATCGGTGAAAGAGACACAAAAGAAGAGCTCACCAAGGCGTTCCAGATCATTGATCTTGACAAAAATGTATGTTTACTCAATATTTTCTCTTCATTTTGGAGGATTGCGCTCTTAGTTGCTCTAGAAAATGAATGTGGTCTAAATGTGTTTCCAGGGGAAGATATCTCCTGATGATATCAAACGCATGGCAAAGGACTTGGGTGAGAACTTCACTGATGCTGAGATACGAGAGATGGTTGAAGAAGCAGACCGAGACCGTAAGCTTCCAAATTTTTTCTCTCTTTTTTCTTTTTCTTATGGTTTGATTATGGTATATGATCCGCTGCATGAATCAAACTGCAGGTGATGGTGAAGTTAATATGGAAGAATTCATGAGGATGATGAAAAGAACTGCTTATGGATATTAATAAACGTTGTTCTTAATCATATACTGTTGAGGTCTGTTTTAGCTGAGGGATTATCATCTGTAATATTACTGGAGATACATATTTAAGTTTTTTATCTATAGCTTATCTATCTTAATGGCAGAAGTATGGTTGTTTCACTCAATGTCTTTGTATCACTTTAAGCTGTATAAAATCAGTTGAACGAGGAGATGATGAGTGGAGAGTCTCTGGTTCAAACTGGAGCTTTTGCATTGTTTATTCATAGGCTTACCTCCTTAAAACCTGAAGATCAGAGAACTTGTTGTGGTCGATATTACAGTTATTATTACTGTCATGAAAGTGGCCCATGATCGTCTCCAGATTGTGTCAATATATTCCAACAAAGTAAAACATGAAAAAAGAACTTTGCTGGTTTGTAGAGAAGATAAGACAATGTTGACAACAGATGATACATTGGGGATGACATTGGAGCCGTGAATTGGGGCCTTACACCGAAATCCTCACGGGAAATATTTTACCAAACATATAATAAAACAAATCATTACCAACGTTCCCATATACTGAAACCCCAGACGAGTAAAAAAAATCTAATTATCTAAGGTGAAAATAAACTAACCAAAACTTGTAAAAGATAAAAAAAAATCCAGATCTCCTCCTTATGAAGCCAAAGCTGGTACGGTTATTGGAGTGGGTTTATATCTTTGACGGACCTGGATGATGATGATGATTGAAGAATCACACTGAAGGCGAAGTGGTTGTGGTGGAGGAAGCAGAGGCGTTGCTGTTACTAGTCTGCTTAGCCACATAAATCTGCTTCACCTTTGTGTTGTTTTGGTAACCTCTCTCTCTAGCCATGGGCTGGTTTCTGCCATGGAATCCCGATCTCCGGTTGTGTTGATGTTGATGTTGGTGATGGTGGTGGCTGGAACCAGACCCACCAACCTGTTGAGACGGCGTGTTCTTGTCCTGGGAGGATTGTTGTTGTTGCTGTGGTGGTGGTGGCTTGAAGCTAGGACCACTTGGTTTCTGAGTGATGTTGGTGTTGGGATCAGATAAGGTGGTAGTGGGATTTGGTGGTGAAGCCGAAGTAGTGGAAGTACTGTACGAGTTTGAAGAGTCCACCATAGCATCTGCAACCGCGGATGTTTGGACGTTGGGATATCTGTTAGGAGGAGGAGGAAGCATGTTGTTGCTGTTGTTAAACTGAGAAGACGGAAGATTGGAGCCATCTGCTGCTTCCTGCTGTTTCTGGATTTGCATATTTGGAGGACCCGAAAATGGCATGTAAGGCCACCGTGCTCGAACAGGCATCTCCTGAGAAGAAGACTGACCACACCATGTACAATACAATATATATAAATTAAGACCAAGTGGTTCCATAACATTAAGCATTGTCGAAAATCATAATGGTGTGATCAAATACCTGGAAAGGGGATGGATCAAACATGGCAAGAGGAGAAGGCATAGGGAGGTGTTGAAGGGACGCAGGCACAATGTTACATTGCATGGAGGCAACATTTGGATTGTTTGCATCACCATCTCCTCCAACCGGAGAAGACGACACGGCTGGATTGTGTTTCCAATCTGGTTGTTTTCCAGATGGGATGTAAGTTGTACCCATGAAACTCAACCCTCCATACTGTCCAACAGGTGCAAAGTGGTTGTACACGAACATGTGAGGAGGGCCCTGCACGCCTGGAATACCACCGGGTGGGGTAAGGAAAGGACCCGTGAAGCCGGCAGGAGGAGCATAGAAGGAATCTACTCCCGAATGACCCTGCTGCTGCCAGGTCGTAGGTGGACCAGAAACTGCTCCGGGACCTTTCTGGGACTGTGGTTGGTTTGCTCCTGAGTCATGGTGCGGGCCAAAGGCAAAGATGGGTCCTCTTAACATCGGGTTCACATCATAGTATGGGAAATGAGGAGGGCCTGGAGGAAAGTGAGTGATCATTTGGTTTGAGTTGTGTGGACTTGGTAATGGCGGCCACATAGAGATTGGGGTGTCCACTGAAAGATCTGCTGGGAGAGAAACAATGAGAGACTCTTCCGCTTTTGATAGACTAGGCTGCCCACCAACAGTGCCTGCCAAGGGGAAATAAAATTATTTTTCAGAAAACAATTATCCTATTTGGAATAAGCATAAAGCCGACAGAAAGCAAGTATATACCACTTGCTGCTCCACCATCTAACTCTGTTCGTCCATAAATTTTGGTTTCAGCAGGTACTACGGAGTCAGTACCCAAGGAATTCCCACTGGTTTCATCATTAGTTATGGCTGCAACAGCAATTGCTAAAGCAGCTTCAGCTTCTGCTTCACAAATCTCCACGCCAGTGGATGATGGATTTCGATGTTTGTTGTCTTTTTCAAAATATAAAGAGCCATCGTTCTCCGTACGCCCACCACAGGGAGTAATAACAGTGGAAGATGTAACAGCACCTGATACAGAAGAAAACTTGCATCATTTTAAAATACAAAGAAGAGACACTCCCAAGTGACAGTTGAGGTGTATATCACATCAGCTCACCAAATTGGATTTTGCCCTCGGCAAGCAATGACTTTATTGGGGTCTTGCCACTTGGAAACGTATTGTTCTTTGGCACCACAGACGCCGATTTCAGATTTGGCTCGCTAATTCGGTTGGCACCATTCTCAACAGAAACACATGAAAGAAGAGATACCGGTTTCATGGCTTCATCAAGCTGACTCTGGGTTAGGGCCATAACCTACACGGTAATACCAAATAGGCTTCAGATATATGCAAAGGGACTTATTCAGCCAAAAACTAACATTATATATAAATTTTTGTCCACGATGATTTTCTTTGTCACAACTTCGTATAGCTTCATGTTTTCAGTAAATCATTCTATCAATTCATAGAGTATGAGATGCGGCATGGAACACAGCCTAGATGATAAGGGAAAGCAAGCAAGAAATTTGCAGAAACAATTTTGTTGGATGTTTGTTTCTGATTTTTGAATTAAAATGATGAACCCACGTCAAAACAAATTAAACCTTGAACAACATCTACTCACCGGCTGATCCGTGAGTTGGTTACCCCAAGTCCCCATAGACGTTTGAATGTTGTCCAGCACCTTGTTTTTGTTGTTGAATACGAAACTTGACGCTGGATTCTCATCATTTCTTGTTATAACTGGAAGAGCATTACTTGCCTGAGAGGACCTGCCAAATGAAATCAAAGGTAAAAACATAAACAGAGGGGAGCTTTCTAAAGACGTGCACAAAAAAGGGGGAACCATCTCTGCAAACAAACTTAAAAGAATTTCAACTAATCAAATAGAGGAACGTACTTGCTGCTCCCAGATTTTTCATCAGTATGGGAATCTGGTTTAGGGGAACGTGTGCCAATTGGGGCTAAGAGCTGTCTGTTGGAGACAGGATTAAAGTTCTTGTTGTTCCCAACTCGGTTAGCTGGTGGGCTTCTGTTGGACCGGGGTGCAGCATTACTGTTCGGCAAAGTTGAACGGGGTTTGCGGGATGCCTGTAAAAAACAAATTCACTTATAGTGAGAACCACCTCAGACTAGGTTACAAATTTAGAGCACTAGAGGTTTAGATTGTATCAGAACCTTGGTTGCCTGGGACTTTTCCTTGATTTCTTTTTCTCTCTGTTCACGACGATCATTAAGCATTTGCCTTTTCGATCTAACCTCAATAAAATCATCATCATCACTAGGAGCTTCAATGCCATGTTGCTCAAAGACACGAACAATTCCACTTTGCAATGGTGCATCAATCTCTTCTTCAGATATCATATTCCTTTTAAGGTTTGCCTGTCCAGAATTTGGAATGAGTGGATTCTTCCCGACAGCATCTTTCCCAGGTCTACTCTCAAATGATCCCCCAGTATTGGTTTTCTGCATAGGAGTCAAACCGGACACTGAGCTATCTGAGGCTTGTTTCTGAGACTTGTTGGACACAACATACTTTCTACTACCGATTTTTGAGAAATTTTGTGCCCTTCCATTGCCATTTTGATTCTCCTCAGAAGATGGCCAGTTTGGTTCCCGAACTCTAAATTCAACCCTCTGACGCCGGTATCTTCTATAACCACCAGAATCAGCCCGAGAAACCTCAGCAATGCCTGATGAGCGCAAGCCAGAATTTCTTACTGTAGTTGTGTCAGTTTGGACCTGGTATCCTGATTGTCTTTCAGCTAAATTTGACTTTCCATGACTCATTTTTCGAGAAGGTAATTCCGACTTACCAGAAAACTCTCCTTGCTTTTGACGTGATACAGCAACATCAATGCTTGCACTCGCTGGTGAGATATTAGCATTCTTCTGTTTTGCCCCATCAGAAACATCCATTGGTCTTCTAAGAACACTGATCTGAGGGTTTGAGACAGAGGGTGCTGGATTTTTACCTACCAGATTAGCTGAATTCTCTTGACCAAGCTGAACGGTCGCCAAGGATCCAGGATTCTGATTTAAAGAATAAGTTGATAAAGCATTCGCCTGGACAATTGAATGAGGTGGCGGTGGCAGCACCCCTTGGGATGTATATCTTACTTGACCAAACTGAATGATAGGAGACTGGGGCTGTTGGATATGAGCAAGCGAGGAGCCAAAATGGGGATGAAGAGGAAGAGGCATTTGGATGGAACCAATCTGTATGGCAGGAAACGGAGAAGGTATCAGCGACGGACCTGAAAACAAGCCAAACTGAAACTTAACAGGTTCCTCCATCTGTGCTGACGTAGAAGGTATAGGAGGAATAGCTGTCTGAAAAGGTGATGGATGCAGACCAATGCTGTGAGGTGGTGCAACAGGATGAGTAGAAACGCTAGAGTTACTCGTGGAGTCTACTTTGTTGGCCAACTCGAACTGTCGACCACTATTTTTCATGTTCTGCATTGTGGTTTCAGTAGCCTGGAAGCTCCTAGATGCATTACGAATGCTCACTGGATCGGAAATATCAACAGATTGGGCGGCTAGCTCACTATGGCTAGTTTCAATAGAAGGTCTTTCATCATCTAAAGAATCGACAGCATGCTGAGGAAGTGGAAATGCAGCCTCGGAGTTCTGTTGACATTTTTCAAAGTCATCACTGGGTATTTCAACTTCTACTCCTTCATTAAAGCCTAAAACTAGATTAGAGTCTTTATCCTGGAGATGCATTTCTTCTAACTCTTGGGAAAGATCTATGTTCTCATCAACCTCATGTATTTTATCCTCCTCCTCGTATCCATCTTCATCTTCGTCGTATTCTTCTTGTTCCTGCAACCGTTCATTACTGTCAACAGTCCACTCTTCATTATCCCAACAAGATACAGAACCTGTAGCAATCATCAAACTATCCCTGCCAGCATCACTAGAGATAACTGGCGCTGCCCCCTTCTCTAGTAAGCCAGCATCTTCTCCCTTTCTGGAAGCAGCTAAGACGGATGAATCTGCTGATTCATCCAAGTCATCATGAGAGAGAAGAATGGGGGAATCAGGTGGGCTAGTAACAGAAAGTGAAGACTGAGAGTCACATCTTCCAGTCAGCTTGCTATCGAACCGATGATGTTCATCCATACCACTTCCGGACAGCCCATGATTATCTTGACGATCCCCTATATAACTGGCTAAAACGGTCGAATCAGTCCTACCTGTATGGTTGTACTTCATGCCTCCAACAGAAGTTGAGGGACCAGAATGCTCAACCTCGTTTCTAAAAGACGTCTTTTGCCTAGACTCCTGAGGAGGGGGGAGAACACGTGGCTGCCTTACTGAATACCTTGGTCTTCCAAAAGGGTAATAGTCATCCCCCTCAGGATTCTGATACAACTTTTCAGGATAAGGAGAGTATGGACCACGGCGTCCACGGCCCTGGCTTTGTCCCCATCCGGGATCGCCATATTGCTCACCAAAACTTTCACGAGATTCAGATTCCAGCCCAAAATTCCTATTATAGGTTCTGCCATCTCCAGGAATTCTCCAACTCTGATCAACTGATTGCTCTGTGAATCCCGGTTTGAAGTATGAAGTGGCACTGAGATATCCAGTAGTCCCATAGAACTCTTCTTTGGGAAAACCTCCACCTGGATCTCTCTGAGGGCTATGTGGAACATTCTCCATATTTTGCGGAATAAACCTGGAATTGCCTCCACTCTCAGTATCCTCCTTTCTCCAAGCAGGCTGTCTATCAGGGGGAAACCCATAAGAACCATCTCTAGAAAACTGAGGTGCGGCATTGCTCTCAAATGATCTAGCAGGTACTGATAGATCTGAAGCTGATGACGTTGTGATTCTATCAACCATCTTTTCGCTGTCTTCCCAATCAACAACATCTGCAGACTCTTTTTCTTTAACAATATCTAAGAATTTTTCCTCTGAAACAGTTGAAGAGCTGGTGCAGCCTCTGACGGCTTCAGCCTGTCTCCTGGAAATCTTTTCTTCCAACTCTAGAAGCTTTTGCTTAGCAGCCTGCTTCCTCCTTTCTTCCTCCATGATCAACTTCTGTTTCTCCTCTTCTTTTGACTTTCTCAACTCTTCTGCCCTCCTTGCAGCGTCAAGTTTCTCCTGCTCATTTCTGAAAGCAGCTTCTCTGGCCTCTTCTTCTAATCTTCTATGCTGCTCATCTTGTTCATTAGCCAGACGCAGTCTCTCTTCTTCTTCTGTCCGAGCTAGTTGAATCACCCTTTCCTGTTCCTCGATGATTCGTCGGCGTTCCTCTTCCTGCATCTTTTGAACTCGCTCAAGTTCCGCCTCAAATGATTCCCTGACAGGATCATGAAACTCTGTTTGCTTAAGAGCGTCTTTCTTCTTCTTAACAACACCAAGTACTGGGAATGGATCATGGGCATCAAAACCAGAGTCACCAAAGTCTTTCATATAAGGATCTTCAACATGAGGTTTGTCACTCTTGAAGAAGGGGCGTTTATCCCTGCCAGAAGTAAATATTGAGGTCACAAAAAAGTAAACAAACCTCTAGAAGAGAACAATACTGGAAAGAGTTAGATACATACCTATTCTGATGATCAATTCCATACCCATCCCGAGTAAAAGTCCCCCTGTTGCCGGAGTTATCCATATTATTATTCCATGGTTGTCTTCCTCCATGCTGAAATGGAGCCTCCCTAGCTCCAGTATTATTCCAAACATTGTCCCTTGGTGCTGACAACACATAGTTACTTTTCTTAACCGCTTCTCTGCCCCTACTAGACGGCCTTGGTCCATAAATACTTTTATTATTATTTGCAATTTCATTGTGGACTGGTGCGGAGACTCTCCAAGCATTGGCCTCCCTTCCTCCTCCGCTGACTGGTCTCACTTGAGTCAAAGAGGATTTCGCAGTTTCATTTTCACGCTGACCTGATTGAGGAGCAGCATGCTTCTGCGGTAAGACATGAGCCCTCGGAAGATCATAACCCCTATCCCAAAATGGTTCATTCTTTGAATATCCATGATCCCTGTCCCGATCTCTTAAGCCATGACTAGTGTCACGCTCATCATCAGCCCAATCAGATCGCGGGTTCACACGAACAATAGGCAACGGCCCAGGAAAATACTCCTTCTTCCTCACCTGATCCGATGAATGCAACCCCTCTGAGAAAGCGGGACTCTCACTTAGCTCGTTACCGACCCGGCTACGCCCAGACTGGTTTTGAGGTCTCATATCTACATGTGAACTTCCCACACCTGAACCACCTCTCGGCTCTTTTGAAAACTCTTCACTTCCAGCTTGCTTCTGCTTCTGATTTAGACCCTCCTTCTGTTTCTGCCCAGACACAGAAGCTGAAGGTAGAGAAGCCTTCAGCGACGGGAAATCTTCACCTCTCAAAGTTGCAACTTTCTCTACAGGATGATGATAAGCCCGGACCAACGGCTCAGCTGCACCAGACCGAGAAACATGGGGCATATTCAACCCATTACTTCCCCTGGTACCACCTTCAACACTATGGTTCGCAACATCACCATCTTGCAAAGCAGCTGTAGTGGCAGGCTTACTCCATCCAATTCCGGACGAAGCAGGTCTCGTTCCACTCCCGGAGATTCCTCCACCAGAATGAAAGCTCGAACCTGAAGAATCAACTCGCTCATGCTCCTTACGGAGTGAAGGAAGGTTCAAGGGGGGTGGAACAGATAGCTTCGGCCCAGCATTTTGCGAGCTTCTTGGCCGTGAAAGGACCACCATACTTCCTCCTCCTCCTCCACCACCGCCATAGCCACCTCCTCTCCCCCGGTTTGCCCCGTAACCTCCAGATTGATTATACTGATTATGTGGTTGGTATCCATAAGACTTGTTTAGATTCACAGACGCGTACTTGTTTCCGTCTCCATGATTGGCCATATCCCGCTTCCGATGATCACTGAACATCGCCAACGCATCAAACCCTAAACCTAGATCTGGTTCCCCAGTCAAATTCGTCCGCAGTGTATTGCTTCAGATCTACTAGAGTGACGAAATGATCAAAATTGACACCAATCGAAGAATCTCTCCCCTGATCAAAACACAAAAAGTAATCAATTCCAGATTCGATCCTTGACAGCGTCGAACAAACGCTGAGCTAGGGAGAGCAAAAGGAAAATCAAAGTTGATGGAATTCGACGAATTAGGGTTTCCTCTTAATCAGCTCAAAGCGGCGTGTTCTAGTGAGCGCAGGATTACCTCCGGCGGTGGTGGGCGTATGATATCGACGATGGTGGCTAACGTGCGCTGCGGTGAGACGACGAAGCGCGAGGGAACGAATCGTCGGAGAGAAAGCCCTACCCCTACTTACTGCCTCTTTGTCGGAGATTAAACCAAAAACCAAAAACCAAAAAAAAATCAGAAAAAAAAACACAAACGGAGGGCATGAGAGATAAACCAGGACTCTTTTTATGTTTTTGACCCCTTACTATTTAATTATCTCTTGTTTAGCCCATAATTCTCAATTGATACATTATCACCCACTCTCTGGCTCTCTGCCCTTGCAACTTTGTTATGATATCGATCAATTTGGTTCTTGTAAGACTGTAGTTGATTCAAACACATGAATTTTTTTGAAGGAGACAACACAAAAATATATACATATTACATGATTACTTAGCGATTCATAAGAATTCGTTACAAGTTTGTTAAACCCTATTCAGAAATAAGCTTGTTACTTAGCTATCTTGGTGGTAGCAGTAAAACCAAGCCTTTCATTGATAATGAATGTTTACAATCTAGGAAAAAAAAGAAATAAACCCTAGCCCATTCATGTTTATACTCTTCAATATATGTTGAAAATCTTCGTCGTCCTCTCTCGTTGTCCAAGCAAAAACTCCTTTTTCAATCTCTATTCCATTAGCTTGTTTCGTTTTTGAGAATACTCCACCAGTGATCAACGACGGCTTTTGACTCAGACCGGATTTTAGGGTTTCCATTCTTAGCGAGGAATTGAAGAGTGCGTAAGGCGTCTGCTTTGATAATAAGTCGAGGAGTCAGAGGCAAGCTTCGCAAAAGTCTGAGAATCCCAACGCACTTTATGGCTTCTGGAGAGGCGATGTAGTATCCTTTGTCTCTTGCAACATGAGCGGCTCTTATGGCGGTGCTAACCAGTTCCTTGAGTTCTCTCCTTTTCACCACCCTTCTTTTGCTGCTGCTTCTCTTCACGACTTTTGTGTACTGTGGCGGTAAATCATCGGAAAGATCCATCGTTTCGAGAAAAAACAACGTTAGAGGACAGAGATAACGGAAGAGCTAGATCAGAGAGAGAGAGAGAGAGGTAGAGGCAGATTGATGAATAATGTGGGCAAGAGGAGACTATTACTAGTTTATATAGATGAACGTTGGAATTGGGTTTGGAAAAAGGAAATAACGAGAAAAAGGATTAATATTGTATTTTATTTTGTTGAGGAGGTAAAAATACGTCGGTTGATTTCATGAAACTGCTTGAGATCGAACACAAATTTCTTTTTTTTTCCTATTTTACTCAACAGATTATACATGCGTTGGCTTGGGGGCCAAGTAAAAAAGACAATTAAAGCTACAAACTAACAATACTGGCCCAAATATCACACTTCGAGAAACTATCTGACTTTTGGGACGTGATAAACTGATAACGATAGCGTTTGTGAATTGTGATTAAGATTGCGTTTTGGTGATTGTTGCAGAGAACAACGAAGGGAGCATAAACATTATTACTTTTATACGTAAGATGCAGGGAAAATCCCGCAAGGTTGCTTCTGCTGTAAGAGAATATTTACAGAAATTACTGTTCACTGCTTCTATCAAGAAAACTCAATAGAAACCCACTGACAATCCGACGAGCTACCGGATTTGGAATCTGACGGCACAAACGTCCGTCGATGTAAGCTACGATACCCGAAGCCACGAAATTGCCAATGCCAGCTTTCCACATAAACTTCATCTTCTTCTTCTTCTTGTCACTCATTACCGGTACGATTGCAGTACTGGAACCAGTTTCGTTACTAGTCTCTGCCTCTGCTTCTTCTTTCTTTGGCCTAAGACCTGTGATGACCTTAGTCGCGTGCTGTCTCAGTATCCGAATCGCAAAGCTCACGAAGAGATGTTCACATAATGTCATCAACGTTGGTCCGATCTTCCATTCCTGATCACATCAACATATTCACATCACTCGGCGACCATCAAAACCAAACCTTCAAGTAAAAATTCTACTAATGGAGGAAGAAATGGGGATTTAAGTTTAACCTTATCTCCATGGAGGCGGCGACGAGGACGAGTGCTTGAAGGATCTCCTTTGAGCAAACCCCTGCTCTCGAGAAACTCTTTAACACGGTCTATCATCTCATCTATGAGAGAATTGCTTGGTGGGAGATTTTTCAGGAAAACCTACAAGTGAATATGTTTTGTAAAGTCAGTTCATGATTTCTGGTTGGTATGACTATGAATGTCTTTTTGAGAAATTCTGAAAACTGGTTTCCGTTTTTGGAAGGGCAAAGCAAACCTAAGTTAGAAAAATATAGTTACCTGATCATCAATGACTTTAACTCTGAGATACTCTTGTCTATACATAGTATCCAACATAGCTTGAAGGTATCCTTCGATGTATAACTGCAATGAAGTGAACATGAGCATATAGAAATGAAAAAAGTTAAATTTAAAAGTATAAGACAAGGCCAAGAGATATCACCTCATCAATACCGGGACTACGATCAAGCTTGATTGTTCTATCAGGCCCACCTTCCATCAAAGCCGTTCCTATCACCGAAGGTTCCATCGCCAGTTTGAGGACTCCATGATGGAAACCGCTGACCTGGGAATGAGAGAAAGATGTTAGAAAAGACCGTATTAGTAATGAGGTTTTAGCCTAACTGATCATCAGTATGAAAGAAGATAAGTCCTCACCAGTCCATCGAGACCTTTCATTTCTGCACCCCTCAGAACAGAGTCTGAGATTTCAGTGAGAGCAACGAACATGACATTGGATCCTGCTGTTCTTATCTGCAACGTGGTAGTTCCATATGACGTTTAATGGAAAAAAAAACTAGGAAATTCATGGTGTCAGTATATTTTATATGGTACGTACAGTTTTCCCAAGATCACCAAAGTAACGTCTTGTCCCTGACAATCCTTTGTTGTCAATAAATTTGCTGAGGAGTTTGAAGGTGCCTACAATAAACGATATTTCCACCTTAATTGAGATATGATCCATATAGAAGCCAAAAACGAAGATAATGATACCAGAAATGAAAATCACTTACCTACTGTCAAACCAGGGACGTTCACCAAACCTCGAGAAGGATCAAAAAAGGCATCAAGAGAGGACGATGAAAAATCATCAAACATGGACGCGAAAGCTGGCGGAAGTAATGGACTGCCTTTTGCAATGTAGATTGCTCTCATTGCATACCTAGAAAGCAGTTATCCAAAGTTAACAATATCTAAAAACAGAGGGCAGTGTACTTGGCAAGTTTTAACAGACAAGCGAAGGATGATACCATGAGTAATGTTTTACACATCGGAGAAGGAGCTCGCGAACCGTTATCAAAGCATGAGTGACCAGTACACCATTTAGCTCTACAACCATATTTTTAATCTCCGGAACCTAGAGAAAACAAAATACCAGACAAGCATTAGCTCTTTAAAGATGATTTGCATATGTATACACGCAAAACAGCAAATTAATAAGATATGGAAAATTCTTATGCCCATACCTTAACAACACTATGTAGTAGTGACCTCAGAGTTTCTTGAGAGGAGTTATAGCTCGAATATGAGCTCCCAGGAACAAAATTAGCAATTATCTAATTGAAAATATGAGAAACGGAAGTAGTATTATACACACAGCAAAGAGTAGAAATTGAAAAAGAAAACGATAGAACAACGGTTAGAGCAAACCTTTACTGGGTGAATTTCGAAATTATCAAAATAATATTGACTACTCTGCTGCGTATTTGTACTGAGAGACGATCTCCAAAATGGTACAACTTTCATTAAAGTCTCTTCGTCTAGGTTCAAATTGATTGGCTGCACGAAAAAACATAAGAACATTGAATCCAGCAGCATAAGGAGGCATAGATGTCAATACAATACAATACTTAAAGAGTCAGAAGTTGACTCTGACTGTTTTATTTCCTACTCATTAATTTAGACAGGGTGGTGAAAAAAGGTAATGAGAATTTCGAAGAGGGTGACACAGTAACCGCCTGATACCTGCAAAACTACTGAGCAGTGTTTGACTTGTGTGACGTTGGAACCACTTGATGCTAGGACAAATACACATTTTAACAGACAACCATTTCCGTCACCGGAATCTGACCGATGCTGACGAAGCATGGCTGCAAAGGGTGCCCCTTCCCATTTGTGATCCACATTAAGAGCCTGCAGTATCCAAAGACAAAAGCCGTGTCTTATTTCTGAAACCAGAAAACCAAGCCAAACTATTCCACTTCGTAAAAGTATACCTCTATACATAATTGGTTAAATTTCTGTTGGTCAGTGAACATGGATTGTAGACCAAGATTCTCTAGTCTTGCCACTAGAATAGGAGAAAAAGAAATGACAGTTTTCTCCTCTGCGTTCTGCATAAATATTTTAACATTGAATCAAGTCTACGAAGCAAAGGAGTTCCAACGCAAACTAATGCAGGAACAGCTATATGATACATATATGATAGGGGCAAAAGAGAGAAGCACAGTACAAACTTACTTGCTTCGCCTTTTCAAGTAAGTGAATTCCTAAATGGGTCATCCGGAACTGAATTTTCGAACGAGAATGGAATACTGAGTCTCCTTTAAGGCTTTTTGAAACTTCACAAATGCGAATGACTCGAGTCAGACCATCTGCATATACTTCATATCCGACCTTTACCATGGGCGTGCTACTGAATTTCTCGTAGGGCGTTTTATTATCTTTGGCCTTCTTTTCTAGCATTAAGTGGGAGGCTATGCTTCTGTGTTGAGTTGCCTTGAACAGGGGTTTCCATGGACGGACCTTATCTAAGCTGAGTTCACGCAAAGGTATCATGCCTGAAAAAGAAAAGAAATTCCAGATTTTTTGGTCTATCACCTATGAATGCTCAGTACTCAGTAGATTGATAACATGGAATAAAGTGTAGAATTGTTTTGTTCCTAGTAAATTTAAGACGTTATGGAGCTAGATGATCTCTAAGCAGGAAAAAAGTTGGAAGTCAAATATTACCATCTACTATAACTACAAGCTTGTGAGGAAGGGTCAGATCATCCCATGCATAATCAGCCCCACTTCCAGGGCCAAGTACTTCAATCTCTGATGAATCCTGCAATTAACAAGCAACGGGCACTAGATGATGCACATAAATATAAAAATACATACGTAGCGATGACAATAAGTAGGATGTGGCCAACCTTTTGGTAGTAAGTGAGAGATGCAGACAAGAAATTCTCAATTCGATATGGTGGTGGGGTATTTGGTGGTTTTTGGAAGCGCACAGCAAGAGTTGAACCTTCTTCAGTAACATTTACAGATGCAAATTCAGTTGCGCTTCTGCCTGTTTCACCTGACTGCTTTCTGAACTTGAGGAAAAAACATCCAATTGAAGTGATGCATAATGGGCCTGACCAACCCCAGTTTTCTTTGTTCAACCGAAACTGAATGAATGTCAATGGATTTGCATTGTCACTTCCGTGCTTTCTGATAAAATTTTCGAACAGGTGAAGTTCTTTCTTCGGTGTTGTTTCTTCCTGCAATCGTAAGGCTGCTCTTTGCTTACTTTTGATGGTGATTATGCCTACAGAGTCATCCTTCCCAGAAAACCAAAAGTGATCGAAAGAAAAGTAAATAAATCATGTTTTGAGATGAAAAAAAATAAATAAATAAAGGGGACACAAAAAGAACCTGAAAATAGCGTTGCCGGATGTTGATGATCTCTTCCGATTCATTGATTACAAGATGTCTTGGAACAAAAGTCACAATCCGTGATGGAACAAGCATCTTACTTGAGATTGATTTAACTGACAGCCCAAACCTTGTTATATACCGAAATCCAGACTCATCTTTTGTTCCCAGACTAATTTCTGTAAGCCCTGATAAAGCATCCAAATCCAACACTGCTTCAGTTGCCTCATGACCATCCGCCAATATAACATTAACCTTGCGAGATCTGCCCAAACTAGGTGTTGAAGTACTTTATAAAATGATACTGGATGAAAATAACTATGTACTGAGAGCCTACCTTAAAAACCACGACCCCT